CACAGCTGCCTCACAAGGGAGACCTGGATGGAGTTCCTTGCCCTGGATTTAACCTGACCCAACCTTTAATGTTGGCTGTGTGAGCATGTAAGGACTGAAACGGCAGATGGGAGAGCTCTCTCTTGCACACATACACTCTGCCTTTGAAATAAATGAAAACATTTAAAGATATTCACTGTGGTGTTCAGTTGGCAGGGGCCAGCATGGGGTGAGGAAGGCGAGGAGCTCAGCCTTGGCAGGAGCAGCGTGTAGGGAGCAAGCTCCGTGACTAGGAGATTAGTTCATCCCAGGAAGAGTGGGCTGCCACAGAGCCCTAGTGGAATCCCATTTTTAAAGGGAAAGGAGTTACAAACGTAGACAGAGGGGAACAACCCCCAGCTGGAGATCAGCGTGACCTGGTGGCTTTGACGAGCACAGCTGTTGCCTATTGCCAAACCTGGACACGGACAGTCTGGTAGCAATGACAGCACAGCGGCAATGAGCACGGCCCGACGCCCGGCTTTTGGTTCTGAATGCCACCGACATGAGCCAGGACTCTGCGGAGGCAGCTGATCGCAGGACGAGGAGGAAAAGCGCCCGGAGGAACATTCTGTGGTGCCAGGAAGCAAAGCGCGCCAAGCAGCTAGAGGTTGTCAGGAGCCAGGTAGAAAATGTTCCCCTCAGCCCAAGCTTGGACAACGGCAGTGTCAAAATAAATTCTAATTTTTCAGTTCTCAAACAGGAATTCCCGTGCTCCGTGCTGATTTAAATATGGAGTAAACAAATGTTAGGAAAGTGCTATCCTGTAGAATGACAATCAATGTAGAAGCAATGGCGCTGTTAGAAAATCACCATCTGGCAATAAGTGATTCAGAGAAGAGAGTCACCAGCGATGCTAAAAGTAGTAGACACATATTTGAGAACGAACAGCATATTGATCTAGTTGCAAAGCAACTCCCTACAAAATCCCTCATTAATAGGAATCTAATTAATTCATTATGGATACCATGTTGTATATTTCCATCTAACATAAAAAAAGAAAAATATTTATTTATTCACAGTGAAGAAATATTGAAGACATCATAAGCAACAATTAAAATTTAACATTCCCAGAAATCGGAAAAATGTTGACACTATTGTGCCTCTGAAAAACAGTAAAAGAACCCAGGACTGCTTCTCTAGTGCTGGCGACAATTCATAACCCAAATCAAACCGTTAGGAAGCACTGGACAAACCCAAAGTGAAGGTCATTGTTCACTGGGCTACACTCTTCAGAAATGTGAAGATGACAACAAAAGGAAACCCCAGAGCACTGCTCCAGACTGCAAAAACCATGTGTCATCTGGGACTGGGCCCTGGGATCAGAAAGGAGAGTTATTTTTATTAAGGTGCATTTATGTGAAAGACAATGCTTCAGAGAAAGTGGGAGAGGAACAGACAAGGAGTTTCCAGCCACTGGTTCAGTCCCAGCAGGACTTCACGCTTCAGGCCAAGCCTGAAGCCTGGAACTCAGTCCAGGTCTCCCAAGTGGGGGAACAGGGAAGCAGCTTCCATGAGTTCCTTAACTTCCATAGCTTCCTTAGCAGGAAACTGGATCATAAGATGGATAAGCTGAAATTAGAATCAGTGTTCATATAGGATGCTAGCACTGCAGGCAGTGGCTTAACCCATTAAGCTACAATAGGGACTTTTTTTTGGTAACTAGCACCAGTTTAGTAGGGTTTGTAGATAAAATAGATTCTGTTGGTGTTGGCACCTTTATTTTGGTGGAAAACACTGAGGTTGTACAGCCAAGTGCCCTTATTCTGAAAGATACACACAGGGAGCTGGCATTTAGTCTGGCAGTGAAGATGCCCACGTTCTGCATTGGAACTGACTCCCTGGTCTGGCTCCTGCCACCAGCTTCCCGCCAGCAGAAGCCCTGAGGGAGTGGAAATGGCTCACGTGATCAGCTCTTGCCACTCTTGTGGGAGACCTGCATTACAATCCCAGCTCCTGGCTCTGGCCCAACCCCCGTCTCCACAGGCAGCTGAGGACTGAACCAGTGATGGGAGAGTTCTGTTTCCTTGCCATCTCTCCAATAAAGAAGCATTCAGGTAAAACTGGAACTTACCATCAGATGGTTCAGTAGATTTTATACCTAGATGAACATGGCAAAGTATCGACAGCAAGGAATGCAGGGGAAGGATACACAGGACCTTTCAAACTATGCTACGACTCTTCTGTAACTTTAAAATGATATCAACACAAAAATTTTTTGAAATAAGAAAAATACAAGTGACCCTTCAGCTACTAGAAATTTATTATAATGGCTATTAAGAAAATCTGTACTTATGGCTTCATCACCTTAGGTAAAAATATACGGAAGAATCACTGAAATACATGTGAAAGCTTTTCCTAATGGCAACACTAGATACAAAATCCTGCTGAGGCCCCGGGCCCGGTGTGGTGGCGCAGTGGTTAAGGTCCTCACCTTGCACGCCCGGGATCCCATATGGGCGCCGGTTCTATCCTGGCAGCCTCGCTTCCCTTCCAGCTCCCTGCTCGTGGCCCGGGAAAGCAGACAAGGACGGCCCAAAGCTTTGGGACCCTGTACCCGCGTGGGAGACCCAGAAGAGGCTCCTGGCTTCGGATTGCCATAGCATGGACCGTTGCGCTCACTTGGGGAGTAAATAATCGGACAGAAGATCTTCCTCTCTGTCTCTCCTCTCTGTATATCCACCTTTCCAATAAAAAAATAATAAAAATAAATCTTTAAAAAAAATCCTGCTGAAGAATCTAAAACTATTCAGCACAATGTTTGGAATTCTCATGAAATATACTTTTCTTCTTGCAAGTTTCTCTCATAGGGGAAGGTTGAATCAAATACAATATATAAGAGACAACTTCGGGAGTTTGAACTGGAGCTTTGTGGGATAAGTAATTTGTTTTCTCTTACAAATGAAAGGACTTACACAAGTTCTTCAGGCCATTTGTGCTTTTTGAACTTAAATACCATACCCCCTAAATAAAGCTGGAAATTACAGCACCTTTGTAAATTTTGGCATGCATTCCACTACTTCATTTAGTCAGTTAGGTGCTTTTTATTAAATCTTTTCTTTCACAATTTGAAAGGTACATAAACAGAATTCCCATTTGCTGGTTCATTCCCCAAATGTCACAGTGGTCCCCGGCCAGGATGGGGCCAGAGTGGGAGCCAAGAACCCAGTCCAGGTCTGCCACGTGCCTGGTAAGAAGCCAGGGACTTGCACCATCACCGTAGTCTCTCAGGCTCTACGTTCTTGCGAGGCCGGAGTCAGGAGCAAGAGCTGGGCATCAAACCAGGCGCTTCAGTCTCAATGCCCAGGCTAAATGCCCACTCCCAACAGATCATCTTCATACAACAAGAGACGGCCAACGCGAGCAAATAGTTATGCCAAGGCAAAAACATTTTTGAGAATTATTGTCTTCTTTCATTTAGTCAAATGGTAACACTATGCTATCACTATGCCATCAGAAGACTATGTCTCCAAAAACAATTTACATTTCTAATAAGCTTGGGAAGGCTCTGAAGAGAAAGAGGACCAAAAATATTCAAAGCAAGGGCAGCAGCAGCAGCCTTTCCACTTTTAGCTTTGAAGGACTTCAGGACTTCCAAGTTCAGTTTTAAAGTGAACAACTGGTATAGTGTTTTAAAAAAGTGTCAGCCAACAAAAGTCTGTATGAGAAACTGAATATTAAGCATTAGTCAATACAAGCTCAGAAAGCGATGAAGTAGGTCTTCATAAATCCTCCTCATACATCCACCTATGATTTTTACTCAGAATCAAAAATTCAAGCAAGATCCAGGGTATCCACTAACAATTTCACATACAAAAAAGGACATACATGGTTGGTTCTCCTCAACTCCAGAGGTTTAAAACTCATGAATTCCTATTTTGTCATTTGGCACCACACTTTAAGAGTTAAGACTCAAATGTGCCCAGGTAATGAGTGAGAAGTACCAGAAAAGGAAAGAGAATTGTATGCACAAATGTGGGGGCCAGGGGAGAGAAACAGAAGCAGGGTGTGGTGAGGGAGAGAAGCCCTGGGCTTTCAGATTCATGTTGGTCATTTTTCCATAAACACAACTGAAACGGATAAAGTAAGAGATAAGCAACAGAAGGGAAAAACCAATACCCCAAGTGGGCAGCTCTGAAGGTCCCTCCTCTAGTTTCCACTGCCATCTCCATGTATACGTTAATTCTACATTTACCGTGTAGTTATCACAAACTAAATCTCTCAATTACTGAACCAGTGAAGGAGCTTTTTGGACAGATGTGGATCAAGCTGATTCAAAAACTTATGCAGAAATAAATGCAAGAGACCCAAAAACAATCTCAACAAAGTTGGGGAACACACTCTTTCTGATTTCAAAATTTCCTTCTGTTAAATAACCAAGACAGTGCGGCACTAGAGGCTGATGTGTACATCAGTGAGCACATAGAATCCAGGAACAAATTCACACCTTTATGGACAAATGATTTTCAATAAGGATGGCAAGACAATCCCATGCAGAGATAATCTTTACAGCAAATGATGCTGGGACAACTGGCCATCCACACACAAAAGGATGAAACTGGATCCCTACCTTACACCATATATAAAATAAACTCAATATGGGTCAGAGTGCACTGTAAGAGGCAAAACTATAAAACTCTTAGGGGAAAAAAAAGTCATGACTCTGTGATTTTGGATGAAACAATAGTTGTGATGATTATAGTGTTCCCTCTGGTGATGAGGACAACGTTCTGGCTTCAGAGAGTGGGTTGTACAACTCTGTGAATATTCCAGCACCAGCAAATTGTACACTTTTTGAGTTATATTTCAGACTAAGATGAAAAAATGGCAAATCACTTTCCTCAAAAATTAGATTTCTCCTTGTTTCAGGCCACCTCTTAGATCATGAAAATATACAAACGACAGCAATATTTGACATTTATAATCCCACTGCAACAAATAGTAAGAATTTCTTTTTAATTAAATTATCTGCACACATTAGCTGATATTCCAAGTTATATTTATTCTTGCTTCTAAACAACAAATATCTGGAAATTTCTCTGAGTTCCTGATTATCTTAGCCATTTATATATTTTTCTTAACTGAGGCTTAAATAAATCTTCACTTTAGAAATTTTAGTGTCATCATCTAGAAGAAGGTAAAAGTATTATTCTGCCAATGACATTATTTAGCACAGGCATCTTTAAGCCATACTTCAAAATCTAATACCTGTTCTTAGGATGATAAAAAGGCGAGGCAAGAGACAATTATTCAAGAACAGCATTGCAGTGTAAGATGTATAATTGGATACTTTAAACTGTGAAACAAGTGCAGACTTTTCTTTCCCTTGGATATAAATAGGCTTAGAGGCTTACTCTAAGAGTTTAAGAGAAAAAATTGTTGAAGCATTAGAAGGAAAGCACACTGTGTATTACCTGTCAACATTCTTTTGGGTGTCTGGTTTTCAGTATCAGAAGTCTCTAACGCTCCACAATGAGCCCCGAGTCTGAGGCTACCAGGTAACATACAGTCCACGCAGCTAGACAAGACCATGCACTGCTTCTTACTGCGCTCAGGGTGAGGAGAGGGACAAAGCATCAGGGCCTGCCATGATTAAGCAGAGAGAACAATGGGGCAGGCCACATGAAAATCACATAGACTCAGTCTTTTCCTCTGAACGTGCTGGTTTATAGCACACTATGAAAGTCAGAAACTCAGAAAGGATATTCTTATCCAATTCTACTCTGAATATTACTTTGAGTTATGCGTGTAAATTCAACACTGCTCACCGGGTAACCTTAGGACAGAACCAGCCTGAGACGAAAACATTCACACTTTTGAATTCAGTTATACCACCACCTTAATAATAACAATAGCAATAATAAAGTCAGGTTCAACACTGATTCTTTTAAAAGTAGAGCACTGAACACCTCCAATACGGTTACCTTGCTCACAGTTAAGATGTGTCTGACACGTATCCAGAACCCTGAAGACCACAACACACTAAGAAGGTCTTTTGAATTATGTATTATGTACAGGCAAATTATAATTCAAAGTGAATGACAAAATGGTGATGAAACCAGAAATAGGAGAAAGAAAAATTGATTTCTGCACAAAATGGGTACAGTCTCATCTGAGAGGACATCACTGGGAAGGCTCCATGTGCAAGGCGCTGCAGCTCAGAATTCAGTCGTAGCACAGAGGCTGTGTTTTTCACATGCCTAAGCTTCAAGCAAACTGCTTTATCAGTTTTGGGCTTTTGGTAGCACATTCTTTTTTTTTTTAAAGGAAGTCACACTTTTCATTCCAGGAGCTATAAGAAACAATTTGCAAGAATCCATGCAAATGTGTTTCTCTAAGGCTATGAACTGGTTGGCTATGTTGCATTGTTTTATGCAAGTTAAAAAAAAAAAAAAAAAAAAAACGAAAAGTACACAACCAAAACAAAACCCTTCTAGAATAAGGGATCTTGAAAGGAAAGCTGTCCCTCTCGGTTCTAGGGCCTGTACACTTAGCAGGACTTCTAGCACTGAAAGCCAAATGAGAGAATGCTCCTCTGAGCATTAGCATTAGTTTGGTCTCTATTTACATTTTTCAAAAATTTGATCCGCTTTCCGTTTCTCTGGTAGATTCTTTTTGTAGGTTACATAACAGAGCAGCCACAGCTCAGTCACATAAAAATCCTTTTTTCTTAGAAAGGTCAAGTAGATATGTCTTGACATCACGTCCGTTACACGATGGCATACTGTTCATACAAAAGGTCTCTTATCCTATAAAAGTCTTGACAAAGGCAGCCTTCTAATCCGATGCGTCCAGTTTCCGTCTACAAAGTGTAAGAAAAGAGTTCCTTAGTACATTCCATTCATTACCATGCAGATGTAATAGCCAAAATACACAAGGCTGGTGACTTTATCATTGGTCAGGAAATGAGTTGCACTGAGTCACAGAGAACAGATACAATATTCAAATCATGAACTTTACATAGAAGCAAAAACATCAGGATGCAAATAATTTTGACCACAAAATTAGGTATCAAAGTTACTTTTTATAAGTCTTTCAGCATTGTCATTATGGATATAAATGATCTTCAGCTTTGTAAAATTATCAACATCTACAGAATTCAAAACGACAAAACATCAGAAGCATGTGTTCAGTTCAACCTTTATTAAAATCAATATCAAACTTACTCTTCGAACTGCTACTTGGTTGTTGCAAACAAGTACACCGCCTACAAACTCAGCTTGAATTCCCTCCCGTAGAAGCACTTGCTTGAAGTCTGACAGTCTGGGTTCATTCATAAAAACCGACTGATGTCCTGGAACCTTGGGTAAGGTCAAAGCAGGGAGAGAACAAGTTCAAAGGGAACCCCGGACACACCGCTGCTCCAAAGCCGGACAGCACCTCGTCTAATTACTCCTGAAGACTGACCGCTTTAAGACTGTGAGTCACATTCCAGGTAGTTAGTCTGAATTTCACCTCATTATTGAACTTCACAAAGTTCTTCCCATTTCTGCATGTTCTGCAATCATTTTCATTAGTCATGCCCCCTAATAATAGAGTCACATGTGGTAATGTTATGTTCTTCACTCACCCACTTGCCCGGGAGGGTCAGCGAGAGTGCCAAGAGGCAGAACTGAACCAAAACTTACTCCAGGTGCCAGGTCTGTGTTTATTCAGAGGCTTCTTCCTTTGCTCTTTCCACTTTCTGAGCAATGGAAACCCCCAGTTTTAGAATCTGAGTTTGGAAAGTGCTAGCTTTAGCACACAGAGCGAAGAGCACTGCCTCTGATTCCTCCTCCCAGCTTCTCCCAGTCCCGAGGGCAGAGGTGGAAGGGAATCCAGAGAAAGAGGCTGGCTGAGCACACTCAAGTTTACAGCACAGCTAACAGCATCACTTGGAGTTCTGAGTTGAATTACCTAAAATCTTTGCTAATGAACTAGATAATTCTTGAAAACATGTTCACTACAAGGGCTACAGTTATAGCTTTACTTAAGAAATTATTTCTAACTACAGTGAAAACAGGTAATTTGAACTGAATTGGTATCACCCAAAATGGGCACAAGGGTAGGTGTTCTGAAAGCCCTCCTGACTGAGAGCAGGAAGGGGAGCCTTACAATTGTTCCTAGTTCACACTAGGGACCAAAGTCGTGGTATAGCACACAAAGCTGGTTTGCATCCCAGCTGCTCCACTTCTGATCCAGTTTCCTGCCAAGGGACTGAGAAAAGTCTCAGAAGGTGGTCTAAGTGTTTGGACCTCTGACACTCTTACGGAAGACTTGGATTAATCTCTGGGCTCCTGGCGTCACACTGGGCTCAGCCACGGCTGTTGCAGCCATCTGGGCAGTGAACCAATGGATGGAATTGCTTTGTCTTTCTCTCTCTGTGACTTTCAAATGAATAATTCTATCTTTTTAAAAAGTTCTTATTAAAGAATTATTAAAATATTCCTACAAAACATGATCAATTCCTAGCCATAAAGAATTTACACACATACATAACCTGAGTAATGCTTTCTAAACACTCCCAGATCAGCCTACGTATGACACACACTTTAAGTGATTAAGAAAAATATGAGGAGATAATTAGAAGCATGACAAATATGACAAATTAAGGAGACGGGCTGAGCGCTTGTATTTACCTCGTGAGGTGGCAAGGGTTCCAAGGTGGGAATGATCTCACTTTCTTCCCCTGCTTCCTTCTCATCATCCCCAAACAGACTTTTCATGGCCTTCTGCTGCGCGATCACGCTGGAATCGGAGGGAGCGTCCACCTGCATTTCCGCATCCTCCCCATCATCCTTCAGTTCCCCTTCTTCTAAAATAACGCCCGTGTCCACCTTGGAAACTCTCATGTCCAACACACCATCGATCCAAGCCAATTCGGCATCTTTCGCCTTACAGAACTGAAGGGAGCTGACAAGGGAGTCTTTTAACCGCACCTGGACAGCCAGAGGAGAATGAAAATCACAGGGTGTAAGCTACCAAGTTCAACACCAATTTCTCTTATCCTTTTCTAACTCTAGTGATTAACACTTGAGAGTCCCACTGATTTTCACGGTGATTGGTGATGATCTGCTAGGATCTGTAAGACCCTGACGGCCATCGTCTACTTTTCCAAGCAGAGGTTCTTCACCTTGACCCCAGGGTGGAATCACAAGTTTATTTTACTTTCTAAAACAGTAATGCCAAGCTTTTACCTGCAGTATTTGTAAAACATCTGGTGGTTCTAAGACCAGAGCACTGAGTCTTTCTCCAGCTGTCTTTGTGCTTCAGGAGTACTGGGCAGCTGGCACTTTCTGGAAAACTCCATGCAGTGTCACACTACCATATTCCTGGCCCCTTGCTTCTGCCCTGAATACTTTCTCTGCCTGCTAAGTCCAACCCATTTCTTCCAGACACAGACAGCACTCTTGCCGTGAGCAGAACTCCCGCTACAAGGTGAGAGTTCATCTCTGGGCTGTCCCTGTTCCCTGTACACGGTTGCACCTGTTGCAGTTAGGAGTGGAGCTCAGCGAACGTGTCCGTCCTGCGTCCCCGCCTGCCGCACTTGCCTGGTAGATGTGAGTCTCGCTGGTGGCGTCCACTGTCTCGTGGAGCTTTGGCATGTACACTTTGATGTCTTTGCCCCCGAACGCGCGGCAGCACTCCGCCAGGTCTAGGCTGGCCTCCGGGGGCCCGTGGACGATGATCAGCTGTCGTGGTTTCATCTGATTGATGATTTTTTTAATGGAATCTCCATCAGATCGTCCTTCGTAGTCTATGTAAGTGACTCTGGCTCTGTAATGACACGTGATTATTTTTCATTCTAAAAATATGCCTTCAATGACTTGTCATCAGGAAATGAGTATGATAAAATAATGAAAAAGATTCAAGAGATATATATGTTATTTTGTTAAAGTGTAATATTTAGATCTTGGTTACACCTAGGAATAGAGGCTAATGACAATAATGAACAAATTAGTTCATTTGGCCTGCTCATGACTTGAAAAAAAAAATTCCCCAAATGATCATTTACTGATATTACTAACTGCACTAAGTAGAAAGGAGTATATTTTATGAAACAAGCAGTTACAAAAATTAAAGCACATAAGTTATATTATTTTTACGGGTTACCAGATTTACTGAAAAAGTCAGAAATATTGTTTTTTCATTTTAATATAATTTAATGGCTTTAAAAAGATTGTATTATATTTTTAATTGCAGAGGTAGATTTACAGAGAGAAGGAGAAACAGAAAGATCTGTCTGCTGGTTCATTCCCCCAGTGACCACAGCGGCTGAAGCTGAGTCTATCCAAAGCCTGGAGCGAGGAGCCAGAAGCCTCCTCCAGATCTTCCACATGGGTGCAGGGTCCCAAGGTCCTGGACCATCCTCCACTGCCTTCCCCAGCCACAAGCAGGGAGCTGGAAGGGAAGTGGAGCAGCCAGGACAAAACCAGCACCCATATGGGATCCCAGCACATGCAAGGTGAGGATTTAGCCAGTAGGCCATTGCACAGAGGCCCTATATAATTTAATGTTTAAATCTCTCCTTGCAACCACCAATTTAATTACTTTGTTAATTAAATTCAAATATCATTAACATAAAATATCATCAACAAAAAGAAAATGCCATATTTCAAAATCCTTTACATAGAAAAAGAAATTGTTTTAAAAGCACAAATTTACTAACCGATATTCTAAAATTTTACTTTTGAAACAATGTGAATTACATTAATTCAAGTGCTTGAAATTTTGTCTTGCAATTTATTTTCAAAATGTAGAATACTCACTTTATTTCAATAGACTCTGTTGTTGAAATACACTTAGTAGGAACATCAGATAAATCCTGATCCATGGGCTCATCTCCATTTGTCAAACCAGATTCTAATTTGCTTTTTTCTTCTTCTGTAGCTTGAAGTTCTGGCACTAAGAAATCCTCTGGTCTAAATAATAAGTCTCTAATTAGAAGTAGTAAAAAAGCAAGCTAATATTACATAATATGTATAACTAACTGGTAGGTGGCATAATTTTTAGATTCCTCATGTATTTCAAGATTTAAATATGCATTTGATCCAAAGCCAATGCAATTTCATAATATCAATTATCAGATGATTGCGTATATTACGTTTTTTATAACCTTTAAAGAGTGTTCTTTACCACATGGCCTGTGGACTGACGAAAGGCAGTGACAAGTGCTCAGGCTCACACGTGCTGCTCAAAGTGGCCCTGCGCTCAGTGACTGCTTGTCCTGATTTCTGCGTTTTCCTCTACCAAATCCCGACGCTGGAAGGCCTCAGATTCCTTTGATGTCCATCTGCCCCACCAATCCCCTTCCTACCTGAACGGAGCAGATGGCTTTCTGTGCCCAGAGCTGGGCAGCCCGACAGCCACGGCGGCTCCTACCAAGCCTCTGTGTTTATTTTGGTGGGCGATTAACACCATAATCTCCCCACTTTCAATCTCAGAGAGTGTGAGAGTTTAAATTTTTTGACTCTCTAACATGTTGCATGTCCCATGCCCACATCTGCTTCCACTCCTGGACCTTCAGCCCTTTCCTTCCCAGCACCTATCTAGTCCCTCAAGTGCAAGGTTTCCAGCGGTGATTCTCGTAACAGCAGCAGCTATCACCTGCGGCACATTTACCATGAGTCAGGTCCTATGCCAAGTGCCTTAAAACACAACCTCTTTTCACTCTTCTCCCAGATGTCAAGGATGGCAAAGAGAGCTGAACGCACTGTCTGCTTGTGAAACGCACTAGCCACTCAGGGTGAGTCGGCCTGCCAATGCTGCTCAGGTTGTTAGGTTACGGTGCCCCTCGGAGGACCACAGGGACAGTGGAATCTTCCCAATTAAACCCAAGAATGACTTATATCCATTACATGCTCCAGACAGCAATATGGAAACACAAAGAAAGTGCGCAGGACTATGCTGGGAGATGGGGAGGGAGGAAAGGTGTACAGAAGTCTGAGGACGGACCTGGAAGCGCAGGACGGGAAGGCAGGACGGGAAGGCAGGACGGGAAGGCAGGACGGGAAGGCAGGACGGGAAGGCAGGACGGGAAGGCAGGACAGGGCTGCAGGGAGCCTGGGCAAAGGGCAGCAGGAAGAAAGTCAAGCAGTTGGACACGGAGAGGCTGGAGCCGACAGGGACAGCCACGAGAGAGACACACAGAAGCACGGGAGAAGCCAGACTGGGAAAGACACTGTGCGTGAAGTTCGGACATTTGACACGCAGTGGGGAAGAGAGAGGGGTGCGGCGGGGGTTTTTACACAGTGGAGCAGCGTTTCCAAACGTGTCAACAGAGCATGTGACATCAGCTGTCTCTCTACTTGTGGGTGCAGATTCTATACATTTCCCATGGTTCTCTTGTAACTAACTCACGAGTGTCATACTGAGCCGTCACCAGTTTCCCAGGTGTATGACAGTCACCAGCCACCCAAGTCCCCGCCACACTCCATCTTCCTCTGGGTGTCTCCCTCACTTCTCTTCAAGCCAGGCTCCGCGGGGGCAGAGCCCCTGCTCACCTTTATTAAACTTGCCACACAACCAGCAAATAAAACTACCACTTTTCCCTTACTATTAGTTCTCCAGATGTCCCACAACCTTTCTATTGTCACACTGCAAACTAGAAGTCTTCTGTATTTTTCAAGTATTTTTCACGGTATAAGGACACAAAGGCAGGGCACAGCAGCTGCAAGGAGCCAGGCCACAGAGCAGGAAGGGTAAGGCCGTGCACACGTACGGGGGGCGGGGGGAGAGGGCGGGCTCTGGGCACGTACTTGATAATCTCGCCGTACTCGTCCCACTTGATTCTTTCCTCCGGAGCAGGAAACATGGGGTAGGACTTTTTCGCCTGTTTGAAGAAGCTGCCTTTGCGACTCCCCTCGCCTTTCATCATCAGGTCATGTTTCATCTTGTGAGCAGACGGCTGGTCCACGTCTTCCTCCACGTCACTCTCATCACTGGAATCTATGTCTGCCCTAGGAGAGCGGCAGTGTCCACTCAGAGTCAGCAAGTCCCAAAGAGACCTCAAATGAATATTTACAAAACCATTTCCAAAGCATTACTCACTATGAGGTCAAACTGCAACATAACTGGGCTGATTAGAACCAGTATTGTGTAAAACACAAGCTGCCAGTTAGTAAAATCTGTTCCCGCTGGTCCTGACGGGACTTGAAATACCTAACAACAGGAGCGAAGCCCTAAGCCTATCGAGATGTTTTCAATTAAGCATTGACGTCTTTGAAATAGATTCTTGTCAAATTACACACATAAACTTAAAATCTGTCCGAAAAGAACTCACTCTTTTGACTGCTCAAGTTTTTTAGCAGCTTCTTTCTTTATTTTCTCTTTTTCCAAGTATTCTTCAAGTTCCTTCCCTTCCAGCTTCACACGTTTCCTCAGCTGGAGAAAGCAACAGAGAGGGTTATGGCTGTGGGTGGGGAACATCACAGCTTCACGCTGATTAGCATCTGCAGACGATCAAGCAATCCCCCTCGGAAACTGATCACGTTTCCATTCCAGGCAATGACAGATCTGGTTTACACTAGTGCTGAAAGTGAGCTGTCACATACCTAACTTACATAAAACTTCTAAAAACAAACAGGAAAACAAAGCATAGATAATTATTTTTATAATTTGTAATACCTGAGGTTTATATGACATAAAACCTAAAAGCCAAAATGAAAAAGAAAATAAATGAGATAAAATAAAATGGCCCATGGATATTCCAAGTTTCATGAAATTAAAAGAAATGAAGAAAAAATATTTGCAATGCTGTGACTATCAGAAGTTGCTTTTTCCTAGTCAAGGGCAAGGATGATTCACATATCAAAAGGTAACATTGATACAATATAAGAAATAAGGATAAATTACCAATAGCCACGAAAAGATGTACACTTTTACTGATGGCTTTTGAAATATGCAAAACATAAAAAAATGTAACACAATTCTTAAAATTAGTCATCAGAAAACTAGCAGAAGGCAATTTGTTAACACCAAGAAATAACAACATGGGAACAGCATTCTGACATAGCGGGCAAGGCTGTACAGTGTTCCGTCAGCAACCCAGTGGGCACCGGTTCCTGTCCTGACCTTTCAACTTCCAACCCAGCTTCCTGCCAGGCATCCAGGAAGGCCAGGAAGGACGGCCCAAGCGTCAGCGCCCCTGTCGCCCACATAGGAGAGCCAGAGGAGGCTCCTGGCCCCTGACTTCAGCCTGGCCAATCCTGGCTGTTGTAGCCAGCTCAGGAGTGAACTAGTGAAGGCAAGTACTCTGTTTTCTCCCTCTCTGTAACTCTGACTTTCAAATAAATAAATGTATCTTAAAAAAAAAAAAAAAAAAAAAGACCCACTCAGAGGGCAAGATGCTATGATAAATTTTAATGCAACAGAATACAAAAAAAAAAAAAAAGTATTACTATGGTTTTGGAGTCAGACTAAAACCAGCTTTTAAGAACCGACTTTTTGAGTTTTTAATGTAATATCAAAGAATATCTACGAAAAGATTACTTAGGCATTTTTTCCTGATCTGGGTGATCTGGGTCACTTCTGTGTGAGGCCGGATTTTTCCCATACACTGACCAGAAGAGATGCTGCAGAGGCACAGGCGAGAATCTGTTCTACTGAGTGAGACATTAAGGAGACTTGCAGATATGAAAGAATGCTGTACTTTCCATTATTTTTTTTCACTTTGGAAAATATTTTGTAAAAATCTATTAATGTTAACACATCTGTTAATGTTACCATATTTGGTTATTATTTTTATATTTATAAAAGACCCTGTACTTATGCATTATTTTGTACTTATGCATTTGTTTGGAAAATACTGGTTCACTGGGTTAGACAGGGCTTATAAATATTGACTGTGTTTAAAAAAAGTCACATTTGCGAATATCATCACCAATCTCATCAGAAAGTGTTTTTAAGCTGTCAATTTGGAATATAAATTTCCCAAAATTCTAATTTTCATCTGGAATATTAAAATTTTGACAACAAATGTTGTCAACCATTTTCCTTATGAGTGACAAGCTCAATTTATTAATTTTCAAGAAATATCTGCCACACAGCTAAGTCTGAATAACCATGTCAGTATTTCAAGTATGAATGATGTTCCAAGAAAAAATTGGCTAGTGTGACCTAAAACTAAAAAAACAAGAAAACACCTCTGCCAGTGTTTTTTGGGGAACCAGATGTTGTGCTTTAGTATGTAACACAAGTGCCTCATGCACACTGCCCATCTTCTCACCCACACCATTTAAGGAGATCTTTTGCTGGGACTATCATTATAGCACAGTGGGTTAGGCTGTCTCCTGTGATGCCAGCGTCCCCTATAGGCGCTGGTTTGGGTCCTGGCTGCTCCGCTTCCAGTGCTGCTCCCAGAAAAGCAAGCCCACATTCTCAGACCGCTGCACCAATGTGGGAGATCCAGATGAAGTTCCTGGTTCCTGGCCTTGGCCTGGCTTACCCCTCGCTGTTGCAGCCATTCAGGGAGTGAATCAAAGGATGAAGATCTCTGTCTCTTTTTAACTCTGCCTTACAAATAAACAAATAGAGCTTTAAAAATATTTTAATGAAAGTCTTTTAAATAATAAAAGCTTTTAATAATATTAATGACTGCTTTGATAAGGGCATTCTCAGGTCACACTGCCCGCCCCCCGACCCTCTGCATGCTTTAGTACGGCTGCTCTGAATCCTTGCTCAACAATTCAGTACTTATGGTGAAGACATTACATGTGAACTGCTAGCCTAATGCTTTGCTTAACTAGATTCCTCAAAAATACCCTTACCAACTACCTCTTTAAATGAAATATTCCTGATAATGGCTGCTGCCACCAAGACAAAATAAACAAAAGAACTCATTAACACAGTACAGTCTGGCTATTTAGGGCCAACCGCGGTGAACTTACGAGTTAATGATGCTAGTGTTGGAAAATGGAGATGTGCCGGGGTGGTGGGGACACAGATCCTTTCCTGGCTTCCTTACTCCGTCACAGGAGTGAAAGAGAAGGAAGCAAACGCAGAAGCAGAACTGGGTGGCACCTGGTGCAGGAGACAGGCAGGTTCCTGTCTGACCACCTGTGCTGCACACGGTCACATGCTACAGGTGAGGACTGGGGTGAGCTGGAAGAGATCTGAGAAGGAAGCTATGAAATAGCCTACTGGAGAGTGGGAACAGGAAAGCTTACAGAATGTTCCATGTTAGTGTTAGCTGTCCTACTCACAGCTGGGGTCACCTGCATGTGAGGGGAGCCAGGCCACTCCACAGTGATTAACTCCAGTAACATGCAGCTGCTTGGCACAGGTACAACAAACGCTTCACTGGGTCAGGATAATAAATAGAAGGCTAAAGATGTTTGCAAAATTACAATTATAATGATAGGCTGGACAAGGCAGCAGAATTGTGTGGTTAGGCTGAGCTAAGCTGCAGCACCCATAGGTGTGTATGGGAGCTGGATGGGATGCAGGATGGACAGGACCAGTCAGCAGCACATACAAGCATACACAGGAACTTGGACTGGGAACAAGCCTGGTGGGGGTTACTGGAGGTTTCCCCGACTAGGCTGCGGTTCTCACCGGTGTGCATAAGGGCTGGGTGTATGTTGGGCAGGGATAGGCTGGGCCACAGCATCCAGGAGATGGGACTGAGGACAGAGCTGACAGATAACTGCAACCACCAGTGTTGTGTGTAGGCTGATGTGGGTGACAGACTAATCCGGACTCCACACTGGCTGGTACACAGAGGTCAGGTCTGGGGTCACCTCAGGCGAGGTTTCTTTGGGTACCCTCACAACTAAACTGCCTGACTCAAAACTCCAGACACAGGGAAGAATCACAGGGTTTGTGGAATCCTGACCTCGGAATGCGTGTATCAGGACTAGATCTCCTCAGGTGCTGATACCCGCGCAGTGGGCGGAATGCCCAGATGCACAAGGACGACATGACAGCCAGCGCACTGAGGCCTGCAGAGGATACGTCAGGATGGCAGGGAGAACAGGCTGAACAACCCTACAGGCCACGCTTTGACAACAAGTGTCCAGGCAAGTGGATACACTAAGGTGGATTATGCCAGCCAATGGACTTTGGAAAGATTTCTTCAACCTTGAGTAACAAAATCAACAATATCTCAGAACTATCAAAACCACTTAAGCAGTACCCTCGGAACATTCTTCTCCACATTGGGATTTCCGGGATAACATCAAGTAGCCGTACCCCAGTCCCTGGTGTTGATGTGGTTTGGCAGGTGGGAGTGGCTCCCTCCACTTCCTCTCTGCTGTCTAACTCACCCACAAGATACAGGAGAAAAAAAAAATAAAAACAAAACCTGGAAGCATTTGTCCCACCCAGCTTCCCCACCAATGCCTCCACACTCCCCTCCCTAATCAGTGGTCCAGCTAAGCATATATCCCTCTCAACTATGTAAACAACATCAAAAATTAAATAATTTTAAAAACAACCATAATGATAATTATAGAATGATGGATAATAAAAAGTGAAGTCCAGGGGCTGGCACGATGGCTTAACAGGCTAATTCTCCTCTGCTTTGCAGTGCCAACATCCCATATGGGCACCAGGCCTAGCCTCAGCTGTTCCATTTCTGATCCAGTTCCCTGCTTATGGTCTGGGAAAGCAGCAGAGGATAGCTCAGGTACTTAGGACCCTGCACCCATGTGAGAGACCCTGAAGAGGCTCCTGGCTCCTGGCTTCTGATTAGCTCAGCTCCAGCCATTGTAGCCACTTGGGGAGTGAACCATGGATGGAAGATCTTTCTCTCTGTCTCTCCTCTCTGTATATCTGACTTTCCAAGACCAGAGAACTGGAGAGGTCATCCAGGATAGAGCTCTGAGGAGTCCGGTACACAGAAAGGTTGCGGACCAGGGTCTCAGGTCACCAGTGAACAACACCGTGACCAGGAGATGAGCAAGTGCAGAAAGGAGAGCTGAGAACACTGCTGGGTCTGACACATGAACTGAAAGGGAGGAGGAATGGCTAGAAGGCCACACAGCCAATGTGGGGAATACCCTGCCCCTGCACACCACAGTGCAACCAACATGAAAAGAATAAAAGCATTGGGCCTGGTGTGATAGTGAAGTGGTTAAGGTCTTCGCCTTGCACGCACCAGGATCCCATGTGGTCGCCGGTTCTAATTCCGGCGGCCCTACTTTCCAGTCAGCTCCCTGCTTGTGGCCCGGGAAAGCAGTCGAGGACGGCCCAAAGCCTTGGGACCCTGCAACCAAGTGGGAGACCCAGAAGAGGTCCCTGGCTCCTGGCTTCATATTGGCGCAGCTCCAGCTGTTGTGAACATTTGGGCAGTGAACCATTGGACAAAAGATCTTCCTCTCTGTCTCTCCTCCTCTCTGTATATCTGCCTTTCCAATAAAAATAAATAAATCTTAAAAAAAAAGAAAAGAAAAAAAGCATATAGAGAAGGCTACTGGCAAAGTCAGATTTCAATTAAGGAAAGAATCCACATGGAATTCTCCAAGGACAGACTGGGAATACAGTGGGCACAATGGGAAAAGTGCCAGACTGAGAACATTCGGGAAAGATCCCCTTTAGGCTGAGCTGTCCAAGGCTCTCTACTGCTATTCCCATGACAATCCTGACACAACCTCAAGCTTCATGTTACACATGTTAAGTCGCCTGTCTCCCAAACAATTTTCAGGGAAAGTTTGCACACAAGCGCTTACCTCTATTTCCGTAATTTTCTCAGAGGGATTATCAATTAGGAAACGTGCTAAAGTCCCAGGAGTAGTTCTGTAGGTTAGAATGACGGAGTTCTTAGGGTCCTGGCACCACTGAATGAAGAGGTCTCTTGAGAAGCCACACTCCAGGTCAGGCTGACTGGCAAGCACCACTTTGGGGCTAGGAACTCGAGCCAAGTCAGAAAGACCATGACACAAAGAAAGATGGCGAAATTGAAATGGGTTATTTCTTTTGTCTTCAAAACATCTCATCAATTTATCACTCATCCATTCGACCTATTATAGGAGAAAAGGCAACCACGATTAGAAAATAATGTATTAAAACTTTCTAATACACGCTAGCCAAGGAATTCAGGCTATATCCTGTTTAAAGTCTTTCCCCCAATGAATTACTTAAAATTTGTGCCACTTCAACAAGTAGCTCATTTGCTGCTTCCCCCACTTGGGTCCTCCCGCTCATTTCCATCCCAACAAGTCCAGTTCTGCATGGTATTTCACACAGTCACTTTAAAGCTTTTAAAGCAGCCAGTGTTTGCATTCTAAATGATTATCCTACCCTTCTAGATAGCCATCTTATCCAAAACAAAGTAAATAATAAATTTTAACATTTTGTCTTGTGAGGTAGGTTCAATTTTGTTCCCACTTACAAAGTGAGACACTCATCAAATGACCACCCCCCATGGCCGGGTGTTGATGAGCTGGACAGCTGGGAGGGGCCCTCTTCTATTCCTGCGCAGACACAGGAGAAAAAAAACATGAAACGTTTGTCCTACCCTCTTCCTCCATACCTAGACACTCCCCATACTAAGTGGAGGATTACATGGGCCTGCATCCCTTTCAACTGCGTAAACGATATTAAAATGAATATCAAAAATTTTAAAAACAGGCCCGATGTGGTAGCCTAATGGTTAAAATCCTTGCCTTGCATCTGCTGGGATCCCATGTAGGGGTTCATATCCCAGCTGCTCCACTTCCCTTCCCGCTCCCTGGGAAAGCAGTCAAGGATGACCCCAAGCCTTGGGACCCCATACCCACATGGGAGACCCAGAAGAAGTTCCTGGCTTTCAGCTTCCGATTGGCTCAGCTCTGGCCATTGTGGCCACATGGGGACTGAACCAGCAGATGGAAGATCTTTCTGTCTTTCCTTCTTTCTGTAAATCTGACTTTCCAAATTAGAAACATAAATAAACCTTTTTTAAAAAGTTTTAAAACATACATAAATAAACTGGGGACATTATGTGTTAGAGAAAAAGCAACTAGCCAAATCTAACTACTTCTTGGAATACTTCAAGATTAAAAAAAAATTCACATAAAGCACACAGGAAAGAGAATGGTTAATGTCTCATTACCATTATAATTACTATCATGATCAGTCCCTGCAACAGAAAAATAAAATCTGGATGACAGTCAGACACCATAATCCATAAGCCCATTCACCATAGCAAGCATACATATATAACAAGCAACGTGGAAACACACCTGGGACTTGGAGAACTCCACCACGTTGTAGCTGACATTATTTAGGAGTGCCAGTGAGTAGACACCCAGTCCTGCATCTTTAGTTCTCCAAATCTGATCGAGAAGTTGAGCAAGTTCTAGAACTCGGCCCGCAGTATCTACTGCTATTAATACGTTCCCGTCGCCTCGAAGTGTCTCCAGGACGTTCGCTACAAAAGAATATAAAATCCCCATGAAACATAATTCTTTGCTGAAAAATTAAAGACAACTATGTTTTCCATTTTCTACTGTAAAAACCACAATTTATAATTATAAACGATGACTAGGCCAGGTACAAAATAAAAGAGCTTTGTTTTGGTCATCATAATTATATTTCCCTCTGTTAAACATATCCCCATACAAATAAGAAAAAAATAGCATTAATTCAATTTTTTCTCATTAAAAATATTACATCAGCAGTTCCTAACCTTTTCACATAATATACAGAACATTTTATTTGTATCACTGGGAAGACTAAATGACAAGCCTGGGGATTTCAGCCCGCCCAGCCTCACCTGTCCACCTTCAAGAAACTCTGTGATGATGAAATTCTACAACTTATATAAACACAAACTGATACAGTAATTGTTTTCTTAAAATTAGACAGTATACAAGTTACACTTTTCAAGTAGATAAACTAAAGAAGCGCAGCAGGTGTGTTTCCAAGTGGAGTCCAACTTCCCCTGTCAAAATCCCAGAGCTCCGGAGGACTGTAAACCCAGGCAGCTGGGGAAGTGAGGAGCGATGGCCGGGAGCGCCTGCGAGAACGAGAGAGCCAGCAGTGCCAAACACCCGACCGCCGCTGGGCCTCGCGGCACCCTCACCGAGCTCTCCGAACACACTGAGTGCGGTCGTCACATGCAGACACGGGCCAGTGAGTAGCTGGGAGAGCCGGCTGAGTGGCAGCGAAAAGCTGACCCTGACATCCTGAGAAGGCCACGTAGTATTTGTTACCTAATCCCTTCGGACCAAGGACAGTGTGACCCAGGATGGGTTCGGGCACTACCGCACATTTCCCCAGCTCCTTCCCCACTTCACGGAACACGTACTCAGAAGCTGCTCGTCTCGCTGCTTTCTTCTCGGCTGCACGTACGTCGCGTTAAACGAGTCGGTGATGAGAAGGGAGGGCCTGCTGAGCATTTCCAGGGAGCATCCGTTTAAATGGCTGTAACAAAGTTTAAGAAGAGGAACACTTCCCATCGCTGCGAATAAACTTTCAGCAGGGGTGGGCATATGGTACAGCAGTGATGACACAGCTTGGGATGCCCACACTCCCCCATCAGAGTACCGGGGCTAGAGTCTGACACACAGCCTGGGAGACAGCAGCCTGGGCCTCAGGACGCTGGGTCCCTCCGAGGGACCTGGACTGAGTTCCTGCTGTCAGGCCCAGCCCAGCTCTGCTACTGCGAGCATTTGGGCACGAGAGATGTTTCTCAAATAAGTAAACTGAATAAATGCATACCAAAAAAAAAAAAAAAGATCACTGAGAGAATGGAGTCGTGGAATCTTTAAGCAACTAGGATCTTTAAACAATCCCCTTTATAAGACTTTTCCCCATTAACAGTAAGAGTATAATCGCTTACTGAGAAGAAATCCAGTAATTCATTCATTTTTTTTTTCCCTCTTTCATACTTTAACAAGTGGAAAGACACTGGCACCCATATGGGATCCTGGTGTGTGCAAGGTGAGGACTTAATCTACTAGGCTACCATGCTGGGCCCTCTTTTTCCTTTTTTAAAAAATAAGATTTATTATTATTTCAAAGACAGATTTACAGAGAGAAGAGATAGAGATCTTCCATCCATGATTAATTCCCAAAGTGGCGGCAACAGCCAGAACTGAAGCCAGGAGCCAACAGCTTCTTCCAGGTCTCCCACACAAGTGCAGGGCTCTGAGGTTTTGGGCCGTCCTCTATTGCTTTCCTAGGCCACAGGAAGGGAGCCGGATGGAAAGCGGAGCAGCCAGGACATGAACATGTGCCCATATGCGATCCCAGCACTTAAAGGGGGAGGAATAACCAATTGAGCCATTGCACTGGGCTCTAAAATGCTTTTTCTAAACCCAATTTTAAACAATTATTCTATTGTGTCTGCACTATATTTTATCATTTTCCTTTATTAATATTTATGACTTACTGCCATTATAAGTTATGTTTCAAATCACTTTTTTTTTTGTTTTTAAAAATTTATTTTTATTGAAAAAGCAGATTTACTGAGAGACAGGGAAAGATCTTCCCTCTTCTGATTAATTCCTCAACTAGCTACAATTGCCAGAGCCGAGGTGATCTAAAGCCAGGAGCCTCTTCCAGGACTCCCACTCGGGTGCAGGGTCCCAAGGCTTTGGGCCGTCCTCCACTGCTTTCCCAGGCCACAAGGTAGGGAAGGTAGATGTGAGTGGAGCAGCTGGAACATGAACTGGCACCCATATGGGATGTTGTGCTTGTAGGTGGAGGATTAGCCAGTTGAGCTATTTGCCGGCCCCTCAAAGAACTTTTTTTACAAAAAGCTTCAATTGCATTTCTGATTAGAAATATATTTGCTGCAATACACAGTTCAGCTAAAAGACTTTCCAGAAAGGTTCAACCAGATAGGCTGTCAAGTCACTAACCACCACCCTGAAGGCTACTAAAAATTGAGAAATAATTCTAACGTACCCATCTGAAAAAAAAAATTACCATTTAATTTTTTCTTTTTTGAGTTTGACTTATAACCATTTACAAAAGCATATTTTTGATTAATTGGTTAGCACTTGGGTAAATTAGTCTAACTTGGACTATTATTTTTATGCTTACAAAAGTCTTTTCCAAAGCAGAGATTTTTCTTACCAACTTTTATAATACTGCTGTATGAAATACATTCAAAGTTTTAAAATCAGGGACTGACACAATAGCACAACAGGTTAACCCTATGCCTTGCAGTGCCAGCATCTCACGTGGGTGCCAGTTCATGTCCTGGCTGCTGCATTTCGGATGCAGCTCCCTGTTTGTGGCCTGGGAAGGCAGCTGAGGATGCTGCTAAGCCTTGGGACTCTGCACCCTTGTGAGAAATCCAGAGGAAACTCCTGGCTGGACCGGCTCAGCTCCGGCCGTTGCAGCCTCTTAGGGAGTGAAGCAGTGGACAGGAGGTCCTCTCTCTCTGCCTCTACTTCCCTATAAATCTGCCTTTCCAATAAAAATAAATAAATCTTTAAAATATATATTTTTTAAACATACATCTTAAACCACACTGTTCCCTCACAACGCAAACAACTAAGTAATTTCAGAAACATGTATTAGTCCATGTTTTTTTGAACTTCTGGTTTAAAAATAAAAACGGCTTTGTTTCTAATGCCCCCACTGGGACAATGAACTAACCCATAGCCTTTCCTTCTGTATACCTACATCTCCCTCTTGTGGTTGAAGTCGACAGCATACACAATCTCCTCTTCTCCATCTTTGACTATTTTCCATATTGTCCCACCGATCATATGACCGGCTGGCAGAGGTGTGATGGACAAGCCGTGTCCTTTCCCTATGTCAACAAGATGACAGCAGTTACATTCCTGTCACAATCCTAAGAAAAGGTACTCATTTTCAAGCTATCTTAAAAGGTAACACGAGACACATTATTCAGAAAACACATACAATGAAAAGCCAGTCTCTCTTCCGTGTCCCCTGGCTCTCCCTTCCCTCACTGTAAGCAAACACTTATTTTGTCATTCTAGGGGACTTCAAAAGTTCATACAGAACTGGAATTAAAAGATTGAAATTATTTTGCTGCAAAACAATTTGAAATTCACACATGGTTTTCTGCAGAATACCCATCCATGGATGTTTCAAGAAACTCCTTTTATATATTTCAAAATCTTTAATACCAAATAAACCTGCAGCTGCATTTGCCCATGAATCTTTTGAAGTCTCTTCATTTTCTTGTAGATACTTGTGCTTATAAATAGAAGGCTAGAGATTGAACTAGAAATCAGGACACTGCTAAATAATTTAGCATAAACACATTTTAATATTTCTACTGTACACACAACCAAGAAAACACCCACATCTCATTTGAGATCTGGTAACCTCAGATGTCGCGCTGGGAAAGAATTTGTCCTACAAAGACGTCACATACAAGCACAGTCATTAAGTTCACTGTTATATCCAGGTTCAATCTTCAGAATTCATTTCTGCACCATTTTTTAAAAAATGCCAATCAGCATTTTTATGAAAATCTCTAATACATTTCTCTCTCTAGAGAGACTTAATATGTGACTCCCTAGGTAAGTGGCAAGTTTTTACTTTCCAGTTCTGGAATTCAGTGACTTCCACTGCGCTCCCCTGACAGGTTCTCTTCAGTGGTTGCAGGAACCCATCTACTGCTCTGTCCCCCGACTCCACCTGTAAGATCCAGGAAGGATGTGGCCCATTCCTTTACACAGCCTGAATTTACACAGGAAAGGCCTGACGTGGTGACATTTCATCAGTATTTAGTCCTACACACTTTACAACTCAAAAGGAAGTCTACGATGTACATTGCAAGTTCTCAGCTTTTTTCCCATGGGTTACTGTCAGGAGCCGTGTACTGTAGCCACACTGAAGCCATTTTGAATATAGAACTATGGGCCAGTGGAAAATCCCTGGCTGGCTAGATGCTTGGGAAAGAAGTTATGAAACTAATCACACGCTTAGCTTCAATTGTTTGTAGCAACTGTTTTAGAATGTGATTTATGCTGTACCTGCCGACATCTTGTTACTGATTACCTATGCTATTGTTGGTATGCTGGTTACTATGGTTGATATGGTGGCTGCTCAAGAACAATCGGTCTGGAGACCATGGCTTGCGTCCTAGTTTCTCCTTTCCTCCCTGAGCCTTAGTTACTGAAGAATATAAAAACCCTCAGTTGAAATCAATAAATTGACAGCTTGATCAGACATCCTGTCTTGCTGTCCATTCTTCGTGTCTCTTGTCCCCCAATCTCTCCTAGGTGGTTGCGACCCCCGTTGACTGTCCTGCTGGACGGGACAATTTGGCGCCCAACGTGGCTGGTGTGCAGACCACCGACAGGGAGATCGCCACGCAAAAGGAGAGGCCTCTCGAAGTGGTGTTGAGTAGAACACCGAGTGAGCAGTTTCACGGTTGACCCGCCGGAAGTCGTGCTCGTGGAAATTCGTGGCGCAAATCTTACGGGGTGAAGGTAAGATGGGACAAGCATTATCACAGCAAGAATTATTCTTGCAAGGTTTTATCAGTCTTATAGACTTATTCAAGACACGAGGAATTTGGGTGATTAAAAAAGACCTCAAAACCTTTTTCGATTTTGTTGGTCAGATTTTTCCCTGGCATCCCCAGGAAGGTTCTATATAAGTCATTTAAGGTTTATATAAAAAAACAAAAAAAACAAAAAAAAAATGTGTTCTGTAACTTGATTTAACAAAAGTAATCTAATATAGAGTGGTCCAAATCCACTGTTAAATTAACCTAAACCATGAGATGAATTATGTGTGCTTGTTTTACAAAATATCTCCAGGTGAAAGTATTTCAAAAAAGAGGTTGGAAGTTGCAAGAGATTTAATAGTTATGTGTCTCTGTTCTGACATGTTTGGTGTTTGTGTTTATGTTTGTTTTGTCAATATTGTTGGTGTTCTATTATTTTTGTCCGGACAAAAACTAAATTTTGTTTTAATACTCTTCCTCCAGTTGTGTCTTTGTCTTGAATTGTTAAGTTTTTGTTCTTGTTCTGAATTGTATGCATGTGTGACTGACTGACAGACGAGATGGGACGGACCATGACTAACCTACCTTTTCTCTCCTGGTAAATAATTTTAGAGAGGTCTAACAAATTTAACAGGACCTAGCCAGAACAGACTCCCCACCTCCACTGGGGAAATGTTCTTGTGTCATTTTCGTGCTGTTTGGTCTTCAACTTACAGTGTTGTCCTGGCATTGATTAAGTCTAACATACAGTATTTAACATGTTCATTTAAATGCTAAAGGTACTTTTGGTTTAACTCATTTAGACTTCTAAATTCTTCATAGTCTCATAAATTTGAGGGTTCTAGTAGGATCCCTGGAACTCTCAAAGATTGAGACAAAATTTGAATAATGTGCTTATCATTTAAAATAATTTGGATTATAATCTCACAATATTATAAAATTATGCTAAATTTGTTGCATCATATATGCTATTAAACTAGGTGATTATTTATGTTTATTGGTCAAAATATTTCCTATTCATAAAATTGATTCAGATTGTAAATTACTTGTGTTCTTATTTACAAGGAAGTATGTGAGATTTTGCCTTGCAGGAGAACAATGAATTCTTTAAAGATGTATATAGTAAAATTGCTCAAAATGTGTATATTTTCTGAATGTTTGCCTTTAAAACAATGGAACTGAAGTCTGATTCTTTGTACAAAAACAACAGTGTTTTAAATCTCCTGTAAGTTATTTTCATCTTATTAATAACTAAACCTATTAACTAACTTCAGTAAATTCCAAGGTAGTCTCTCAAGACAACAGCCAAATTGAAGTTTTTTCAGCTCTTTTAACTTCAATAAAACAGAAACTAAAGAAAAGCTCCAGGCCCATCAGTCATAAAACAAGGAAGGGGTATGCCTGGAGTCTGCGCTTTGAAGAATTTGGGAGTTTGTCCCAGTTGTGGTAATTCTTATCTGCCTTCATTAAAAAAAAAAAAAAAATCAGCTAAAAGAAGGTTGTTTGAAAAAAAAACTTCTCTTTCCTGGTTTTAAAGTGGATTTGTGCTCAAATATGTTTCCATGAATTAGAAAAATGGTTGAAAATTGTTTAAAGCATTGTATTTAAAAGTTAGTATGCTTTTATTTAGAAAATGTCTTAAGAAAAGTTGAGGAATAAATCTTATAAGCTTTACATATAATTGGCTATAATTTTAAAGATACTATTACAACATTGTTTAAGTTTTTAACATTAATACCTAATACGAGCTGACGTTAGAATTGATACCTGTGTTCAAAAAGTTTTTGAAGTGTGCATACACAGAAATGCTAGTAAATATCTAAAGATAAAAATATCTCCAATTTTGAAAGCTGTTAAAAAAAAAAATTGAAGCATTGAACCTTAGGTAGTCTCTGTTTAATTGGTGAATTTGTCAATTCTCTATCCAGCTTCAGTAAGCTCTATTCTTATTCCAACTTTTGAATTTGTTAAAGTTCTGAAAAAGTTATGAGATAATTTTATACAGTAATTCCTGTATTTAAGGTTATATTTCCATTTAGGTGATTGACTAAGGAAATATACATTTTGCCTTTCAGTTAGGTAATCCCTTGCGTTCTGTATATTGTCTTTGTTAAATTCTCATGATTTAAAAAAACTGTGTTTTCAAGAGTATTTTCTGATATGTATTTACTTTAAAATGTTTGGATGATCATTTATAATTGACAAAAAAAAATTTTTTTTTTGATCTGTTGCTATTTGAATCAGTCTGACTAAATGGGTGGTTATTATAATGAGAAATCTTTAATCAAATACTTTAAGGCCTCTTAGCATAATTAATAGACTTAACTCTTCTGGTTCTGGGATTTCTAATAAATAAGTAAATAAATAAAATAATAAAAATTTGAGGGGGCAGGGGGAATTGCAGAAAAGACATTGGGAAACCTTGCCAGTGGGGAGCCAGGACTAGAATCAATCCTGCTGGGAAGGATAGATCTAAAAAGTACAAGAGTGTGTAAAATCCAACAGGTCATATCAGCGCCAAACATAGAGACTTTGTTTTCTAGGATTCCAGCAGACCTATTGTATCCATTAAAGCTAAAGTTTAATTGTAAACTATAGGAGGTTTATAGACTAATAATAATAATAATAATAATAATTCTAAAAAATTGGTAACTTTAACACACTTAAGAGAATTCTCAAGTAGCTCTTACAAGCTGTTGTTTCATGTGTGTTACCTAATATGTATGTGCATGTTTATGAATGAGAATTGCTAAGCTAAATCCTTTTTAAAAATAATGTATATGTATATAATGTATATGTATAGCATAATTAGGCTCTTAGAGAGTCATGTCCATTATTGTTTTCCCAGGACCTACAAGATCTGTTCAGCTCAATAGTTTAACATGATTTCAAATGCATTTACTGCTAGGGTACAGTTTGAAGACTGGCCATGGGAGCCCAAATCCACATAAGTTAAATGGAAAACATATGGGTATATGTATGTAAGTGTTTAATGATAACTCAGATCTCAGAGAATGTTAAAATGCTAACATGGGAAGCAGCTCTTACAGCAGACTCATAGACTGACAATTTTGAGTAACACTCAGTGGCCTCAGAATCAGCCCAAAAGGCATTCTGGTCTGACAGGAGAGCCAGCAAAAGAACAAGCATATCAAGTGTGGAATGCCAGGACACTACTGCTAAGAGTGTCCCTCCCTGAAGGACCTCAGTGGTCCACACCCCAGTGCAAAGAAGCAGCCATCAAGGACGGTTGTGCTCTTCCCTCAATGGAGGAGAGAACTTCCACTTTGTGTGTGGTCTTGTCTAATGGGGTTGTTGTGGATTCAAGAGGCTTCCACAGCCTAAACACCATTTGTCTGGAACCTCAGGTTATCACTGACGTCACACATAAGAGTGCTAATTTGTTAAATCCACTAGTCACTGTGTACACTGTCTTCCAATGCAGGATCTGTATGTTCAGAGTCATAGTAAAATTAATAGTACACCTTGCTGTATTTTAGTATAAAGATTTATCATCTCAGTTTTGGTTATGTCTGAATATTTAACTCTTTTGCCCTAAGAAGTCAGTTTGCATTTACCTGTCCTGTGATGGGCTTATATCCTGATGCTGTATGCTAATCCTTGCATTGTTACTGTGCCTTCTGATTAATCTAGGTTACCAGTTTTATGCAGCTCAGAAGTTTCATGTGTTCCATTAAGCTTATTGGGTATGTTCCAAAATTTGAGACTTAAAGAAGTTAATTTAGACAGATACAAATCTAGTCCATAGTCTTAAATTAATGTTCACTCTGACAAAAGTTGAAACCTAACAATTCTCTTACATCTAAGTTCTGATGTTCAAATATTCAAACTGCTAACTGAACTCACAATATGCTAGGCTAGGAAGAGTTATAACTATGTTATGTTTTGCTATTTAGACTTCAACACAGAGAAACTTTTCAAGTGCCAGGATGTACATCAAACACCTGATGACTTCTGCCTTCTATCAGGAACCACAAGATGGACCCCCAACAGCTGCTGTTACCCAACGGCGCCCCCTCTCAGCAGGAAGTAGCTAAGAGCAGATGACAACGCCCTTTCTCCCTAAAAACAGTTGGGGTTCATTTCTGTTTGAAAATGTAGGAGTCAGATGGGATGATAGGCAGTTAGAGTCTCTGGTTCCTGATAAAACTGTTTTGTATACATGTAACATCTTAGCACTATGTGATTCTGGAATGTTAGTATTTTCAACAATACTTGTACATTGTTAAGTATGTCTTCTTGAATCTCACCAGCCAGCTGTTCCCCAATATACCATCATATATGTATCACCCCAGTATGAGTTCACAATATTTTGGCGAGAGTGATAAAAACCAATCAATACCTCTGGGGACAATGGTCTAACGCCTTCCTAAATCTCACCAGTCAATTAGCCACCAGTATAATTAAAGTAAATGAGACCCCAGTTCTACCCATGTCAGGGAAAGTTATTCTAAATGGCATTAAGCTGGCAGCTTGCATGTTCAAGAAATGCAGCGAGGTTATGGCCTTAAAAACCTTGACGGTTGCTGCAATGGCTCAGGCTCCCCAAGTGATAACACCCCACATTGTGCTGTGCGGCTCCAGTCTTCAAAGAGGCTCATCTAATATAATGAGGCATGGCTTTTCCTGGGTAAGCATTTAGCCAATGACGGGCATCTTTCTGGTACCCCGCCAACCTAAGACAGGGAGCCCTGGATGACTGGCAGGGCTGCCCAAAGACGGGTAAGAGTTGAGGGTCCCTCAGAATGAGCCTAAGACAGGCAGTGCTTATCTTGCCTCAAGGAACCTTTTTCTTTTCGCCGCTTTCATTGATATATAGAAAAGAGGGGGAGATGTCAGGAGCCGTGTACTGTAGCCACACTGAAGCCATTTTGAATATAGAACTATGGGCCAGTGGAAAATCCCTGGCTGGCTAGATGCTTGGGAAAGAAGTTATGAAACTAATCACACGCTTAGCTTCAATTGTTTGTAGCAACTGTTTTAGAATGTGATTTATGCTGTACCTGCCGACATCTTGTTACTGATTACCTATGCTATTGTTGGTATGCTGGTTACTATGGTTGATATGGTGGCTGCTCAAGAACAATCGGTCTGGAGACCATGGCTTGCGTCCTAGTTTCTCCTTTCCTCCCTGAGCCTTAGTTACTGAAGAATATAAAAACCCTCAGTTGAAATCAATAAATTGACAGCTTGATCAGACATCCTGTCTTGCTGTCCATTCTTCGTGTCTCTTGTCCCCCAATCTCTCCTAGGTGGTTGCGACCCCCGTTGACTGTCCTGCTGGACGGGACAGGTTACACCTCTTCAGTCTAATTATTTACCACTGGGAACACTTTTTACCTTTCAAATTCACAATCTGAGAGAATTTCAGCTGCTGTATTTTGTCAAAGGCTGCATCCACATCATCCAACGTAAAAAGTGTAAAATCCTCTGTATTATGCCGAGACTAGAAGAACACAAACGAAAGGTTAAAAATGAGCCCTGAAGAAGTGTGGAGACCCACGCTTTCTCCTTCTTTCAGTTACCTGGTAGAGGTCATACATGAACATCTGCCCCATCTTGTACACAGGAATGGTGGCGTAGATGGCACAGTTCAGCCCCAGCTTGCCCACGGCATAGGGGAGGGCGCCGAGGTGCAGCGGGTCGGGGTGTGACAGCAGCACGGCGTCGATCTGGTGCACGTGCCTAGGACACAAACACAGGAGCACCTGCTTAGCTCTCGCTGTTCAGGGAAAACACAGGAGACCCCCAGATGGTTCGGAACCCTGGCTTGAAAATTAAACTGCAGTCCAACAGAAACACCAAGAGCTAAAATGACGACATCTGTGAATTTCAATAATTACTATCGGTTGCATGGGTATTCAGAAATTGTGAAAGAAATAACCAGAATTCATTATAAAAACTTTTTGCCTTAGGTTTTTAGCAGACTGATTGCTAGCATATTCATCACGGTAAAACATCAATCAATTACAAGATGGTTTGGGTTGGGTTTTGTTGGTTTTGAGCTTTACATTTTAAAGAATAGTTAGGTCCTCTTTTCTTCAAGAATAATTAACACTGAACCATGACCCTTCATTTCTTTCAGTGCACTCGAGGTCTCAAAAGTCTGGCATAAAGATACTGACAGCAAACTGACGCTGCAACCACAGGACTTCCGTAAAAGTTTAATTTATCTTTATTTGAAAGGCAGATTTACAGAAACACAAAAAGCTAATAAATCCCCTCCCCCAAAAAACCCAACAATATGTAAGATCAATATGATTTTACAAAGTAGAAAAAAATAGAAGCTGAGTTACTAAAAATCCAGAAGGGCAAATGTAACTTACTTCCTCAGGGAATCTATAATATCCATGGAAAAGTGTTCATCCCAGCCACAGTCCAGCAGAAACCTAAATTCATCAACTTGGAGAAGATAGCAAAGAGCTGACTCTTCTTGGACCCCTGAGAGGGTAGTTAATTTGATTATCGATGTCATCTTTTTGGTCTGGTACCAATAATCTAAAAGGTTCATTGTAAAGAATTAAAATCATAATTAAACATAAAAGCACAATCTAACAATTATAGACAAATTAAGAAATGATTGCAATTTGTAAGTTCACAGAAATTCCATAAATATGGAAAGTACACACGTGAAAGCCCTTGCCAACCTCCAAGTCGCAAACAAGTTACCCTCACCTTGTGTACGATGGGTACTTCAACGTGTTCAGAGCGTTAGTGAAAACCTAGTAGACTTTGGAATCAGACACGTTTCAACCTAATCCTACATGATGAGGAGCAAGCTAATTGCCCTTCTCTTACCTATAAAACTGGATATTAAAGCATTAGGTTTAATATGCATGTGAAAAGAAAGTAAGAGGATTTCAAACAATGTATGAATTACCTAGAACTCAGGTGACTGCATCCAAGTTCCACTTTACATAAATGTTTACTGAATTCAAAATGAATTTTTTCCTTACTTTTTTTAAAGATCTATTTACTTTGAAAGAATTACAGAGAGTGAGAGAGAGACACAGAGATAGAAATCTTCGATCTGCTAGTTCACTCCCTAGATGACCACAAAGGCCAGGTGTGAAGCCAGGAGCAAGGGACTTCATCCAGGTTTCCCAAACACATGGGCTATCTTCCGCAGCTTTTCTCAGGCCACTAGCAGGGAGCTGGATCGAAAGGGGATCAGCCAGGACATGAACCAATGTCCACATGGGATGCCAGCATGGAAGGCTTTCCCCACTACATCACAATGCCAGCCCCCATTCCTCCTTTATCTTGCACTGTGATGATCCTGATATATTGAACCACAGTAATTCAGTTGTATGTTTCAATTTGACCAGTGATCCTTAAATAAATTGACAATTTAAAAATCTAGTAAAGGTGCCAATGTCTCGGCAGAGCAAGTTAAGACTCTGTCTGCAGTGCCAGCAGCTACATGGGCAATAGTTCAAGTCCTGGCTGCTCCACTTCCAGTCCAATGTGCTAATGTGCCTGGGAAAGCAGCAGAGGATGGCTTAAGTCCTTGAGCCTCTGCACCCATGTGGGAAACTCAGAAGCAGCTCCAGGATCCAGGCTCTTGGTTTTAAATCAGCACAATTCTGGCTGCTGTGTCCATTTGGGGAGTGAACCAGCAGATGGAAGATTTCTCAGTATCGCTTTCTCTCTTCTGGCTGCTCCCCTTCCAATCCAGCTTCCTGCTGGTAGCCCAGGAAAAGCTGCAAAGGATGACCAAAGTATATGGACTGTTACCACCTACATGGGAGACCAGATGAAGTTCCTGGCTCCTGGCTTCAGTCTGGTCATCCCTGATCATTGTGGCAAACTGATGAGTGAATCAGTCGATCAAAGCTCTCTCTCTGCAACTATTTAAAATAAATAAATAAATCTTAGAGGGATTTGGGAATACTACCGAACTGTCCACTATTACACACGTTGGGAAAACACTTCTTACAAAGTTCAAGTCCCCAGCAACATTTCAGATTTTAGCTCTTAGGGTCTGGTCAAAAAGGTCATGGACAAACCAAACTAAACCATTACCTTTGTTAATGGGCTGACGCAGGGTTAAACCACCACGCCTCTCATCCTGGCTGCCTGAGTTACAGCCACAGTCTCCGACCACTAGATCACTCACTATCGCAGACAGGACCATCAATGACAGCATCTCCCAGTGGAATCCAATCCCTTACCTCCTCTCCCTCCCCAATCCTTACAGCTTGCTCTCTGGAGCTAACACTGAACTCACTTCTAACTTCAACATCCTCTGAGATTTCTTTTCTCCTGCTTGTCTCCACTGACCCTGCCGGCTCCTTGGCGACACTGTTTGTTCTCTAAATCAGGCACCCTCCGGGTTGCAGAAGCAGGAAGTGTGTGTTCCCTGCTCCTCAGTGCAGCTTCAAACCACATCCCCTCTTCCTCTTTCAAACACCTCAGTGCTGAGGCCGGTGTCACCCAGCTGGTTCCCTGTTGGCTCTCCTCACTTCCTCCTCGTGGCTGGAGTGGATTAATTGCCCTGACCTCTCCCTGAGGAGTCCAGCTCCTCCCCTGGAGGCCCTGATTGCATTATCTCACCGCTGTCACCTACCATCAGGTTACTGACCTCCTGCTCTCCTCACTGCCTGCATCCCAGCTGTGAGTCTCCCACCACCACCTGACCTTTTCCTATTTTCCCAGTGGACACTCCCTTGCCCTCCCGGGGATCTCTAACACTCTGATTACTTTTCTACTTTCCACGACCTCTCCAGTCCTCACTCAGGTCCTTACCTTCAAGCCAAGATCTCTTGAGATTTTTCTTCACACACCTGCCAATACCTTGCTACCGCTACTCCTTCTTTGTGCTGGCTTTGCAAAACCCAATACCAACTCACTGCAACTACTCAGTCTGCCTTTTCCAGCAACTGCATGCTGCCAGAAGACAAAGCTCACGCAGCTCTGCTCTCTGGTCTTCACTTTCACGACTCCTGACCCCAGGCAGGCACTGAGTACCACCAGGGCTTCCTGTGGTTGACTTGCAGCTCCCACACTATTTCCCATGTTCGCTTCCGCACTATCACTGCTGGCCCTTCATCCTGCCCTCAGCCGTCACCGCGTTCCTCAACCAGAAACGAAAAGGATGCACCTGTCATTCCACCTGCACACACACCCTTGCCGTGTCCCCCATTACATGGAGTGAATGGCTCAGCTCCCACCCAGGGCTAGCCCTCCAGGTGCTCTTGGTCCCATTCTCATTTCCACTGTAAAGACTACAAAGCTTTTTTCCCTGCATCATCAGCAACTCACTCATATGCCACACATGAGCACACAAAGATCATCAGAATTTCCCTATTTGTTAAAAAAACACTTCACTTAAAAGTCACTTAGTCATCATCTGATCCGCTTCACAGCACAATGCCTCAGAGTATTTGTCCAACTGCTGTCGCCTTGGCCTGCAGAGGTTAATAGCCCCAACAGCCCGACGGGAGGACGGCCTGCAGAGGTTAACAGCCCCGCGGGAGCACGGCCTCCAGAGGTTAACAGCCCGACGGGAGCACGGCCTGCAGAGGTTAACAGCCCCGCGGGAGCACGGCCGGTGCTGCCTGGTCCCTCCTGCTCTAGGCTTCAAAGCTACCTGTACTACACCATCACCAAGAGCTCTAACTAGTTCATGTAGTTCCTCATGCCCGATTTATTATCTGTGATATTGTCACTATCCCAGTCTTTTTTCACACTCTGTAACAACATCCTGTTTGCTTCGACACAGGATGTTAACTGCTATTTATTACTGATTTCCTTGCTTTGTCTGTTCCCATCTCCCGACCTCAACACAGAATGGAGTCCAAACAGCCTACCGCAATCACAGGGACATTGCGATGCCCCCGTGGTGCTGCGCACTCCATGGTGGTAGATGCAGGCTTTCTGAGTGAACAAGGCTCGGTGAGCATTCAGCGAGCGCAGTGCCCGCACAGCACCGGAAGCAGTTTCCGCCCTACTAAGCACACTCCCATGGCTGGAGCATGGACTTGCAGCGCAGGAACGGCTCCGCCCACTCGGTACAGCAGCACCCATTCTGCACAGTAAGTAACTGTCCTTACGTCACAGGAAACACATCTGCAAAGCCACACCCACAAGTTCAAGGGCATGGGATTACAACACAGGTTTGGTTTTGGTAGGAAACTTTCAAAATTCAGGCAACTGGCTCTCAATACAAATTCTCCATGAGCTTTCTGAAGTACTCTCATATTTGATGGAAAAGTTTTTGGAAATATGATTTTGGAATGGACACGGGCATGTATCATGATGAAAAGGGTTTCCTGGACAGTTAGATGGATGGCCTCTTTCTATCTTGCATACGGAATTCGGTGAGTTCCTACCACAAGTTTTTGGCAGATAGACCCAGCTTTTTATTACAAGTCCCAATAATAGAATGATAGCTTTATTAGCCTTTACTTACTGATATCTCAGTCGGATTTATAACAAAACACCATGAATTCAGAGGAGAAGCTCTTAACAAATCTAAAAAATAAACAAATAAAAGTCTCATTAATGTGGTATGATTTACTTCTGCTCATAATTATGCAGTTAACTTGTATGTCTGAACCTAAAGTACCAAGAGCAGCAGCAAATAATAGAAAATATGGCACCTTTGAAGAAATGTGTCACTTTTTGGAAGTTTAACTTTACATAAAATAAGGGTAACGCAAAAAGCAAAAACAGGGCCCAGAGCAGTAGCCTAGTGGATAAAGTCCTCACCTTGTACACGCCAAGATCCCATATGGCCACCAGTTCTAATCCTGGCAGTCCCACTTCCCATCTAGCTCCCTGCTTGTGGCCTGGGAAAGCAGTCAAGGATTACCCAAAGCCTTGGGACCCTGCACCAACGTGGGAGACCTGGAGGAAGCTTCTGACTGCTGGCTTCAGATTGGTTCAGCTCCGGCCACTGTGGCCACTTAGGGGATGGAAGATCTTTCTCTCTGTCTCTCCTTCTCTCTGTAAATCTGACTTCCCAATAAAAATAAATAAACATTAAAAATTATTTTAAAAAACAATAATAATGAACCAAGATGGTTATAATTTTAAATACATAGTTTAGGAAACAAGATTTTACAATTAACATTAGTTTATGTTACTAAGAATCAGAAAAAAATGAGACCAAAGATTATTCAATAATGACCACTAGAATCTGGATAGAATAAAGAAAGTTTTCAAAAGCGAGCGAGAACACGAGCAGAGGCACAAAGCATGCACAGCGAGTGGCCTGTGGGCCTTGGAGGGCTGACCCAGCAGGTGGAGGGCTCTCATTCTCTCTGCTTTTGAAACAAATGCCAGCACGAGCAAGGCAATAACCACTTCCCGTCCTCAGAAACTTCGCTAATTTTACTGCAGGGGCTCCATTCCTTCAGCCGCCTATGTATTTTATTACTCCGTGACATCAATTTATTGTTGTCTATGGAACCAAGGCTTGGAAGTCTACATGTTTAGTTCACTCTTTCTAGCAAAGTCGGACTGCTTTTCCTCGGAATGTGCCTACATCACCCCCAGTCTGACGCACAGCCTAAAACACATCTGGGCCTCTTGATGTCTTTGCTGCCCGTCTTCATCTCAACCTAGCCAGCGCTGTCAGATTAATGGCCTTATACACCATCTCTCCTTGCTCAGAAGACTTGGCCAACTGCTTGCTGCCTGAAACCAGCCAACCAGCCGGGCGACACCTTCCTGGCCATGGAAGGTCCCAGGACGCTGGCCTTGACACCGTGGCTCACCGTCCACCCTCGAGAGCCAGCTCAAGTTCACTCCTTCACTAACAACACCCGTCACGAGTCTAGTCTAGCGGTGTCCATCAGCAGAAAATATCACACACACTGAAAATGTAATTTGATGTTTTTTGTTTCACTGCCACACTGAAAAGCTGAAAGTGAAACCTCAGTATTAATCCAAGGCCACCATTAGTACACATTAGTGAGGCTCTTTTTTTTTTTTTTACTAAATCTTTAAGATCCAAAGCATATTTTGCATTTAGTGCAGTTCTAGACTCTACAATCAGTGCTGTAGACTACATACCACTGAGTTCTGCCACTCCATTCTATTTCTACGCAACTGCCTTGCTGTATCTTAGAAGGCTCACCAACCGTTTAGTCTCTGAGAAGGAAAGCCTGAGTAACTCCTGGCCACCAGTCAAGACCTCACTGACAGGAGTCTGACATGCTTTTTGTCCTACCCGGGTGGCTTTTTGTCCTACCCGGGTGGCGCAGCCACTCATCGCCTTACCTCAAAGACTGCAACTTTCTTGCCAGTTTCCTGTTCCCTGCAGAACCTCCACAGCTGCCAGAGACCACCCTAAAAACCCCAAGGCCTCACCCCCACTCCTTGTAGGCAGCACCTGCCGGCTGCCTGCTAGCTACCCAAGCAAATCCTGTTTTTCACCAGCTTGGCCAGCCACTTGGCCCTGCACACACAGGCACATTGACTGTCCCACTCGCCCCAAATCCGCCAGCAATTGTCAAGTCCTCAACTCTGCCTCCCCAAGCTGTACCTCCAGACATGGCCTCCTTCAGAGCTTAGCAAATGCCATTCACTGCTCTGTGACCAAGTCCAAACGGGGAGTCATTTATGGAGCGTTGGCCCAAATGGGACATGGGACTATATGCTGAATTGGATGCTGAATGCAAAAGGAATCATAACCTTTATAAACCCAAGACCAAGCACGGCCCTCAAAGACACATCAGTGTGATGATATGTCCCTCAAAGAAGGTAGAGACGGGCCTTCCACCCCTTCAGGGCAGTGACCTGGGCTGCTTGTTATTCCTGCATCTGTGGTGTCCCAGTTATTCGGGTTCTTGGAACCACGGTCTCAATGACCTCTAAGAAGGTAGGATTCAAAAGAAAAAAACGGTGGAATGGGAGGTCAGGGAAGGAGGGGAGGGATAGGTCCTGGAGCCCCGAATGTGCAAAACCTCTTCCAGGTCATTTCCGGGAGAGGGTCTAACAGAAAGTGAAGGGATGGATGCCAAGGGGTAAATCAGAAGCGCCTGGCCCCAGGAGGCCAGAAGTGCCACTGTCAGAACAACTAGAACTTCCTAAGGTCTTCAGACCTCGTCAGCAAACACGGAAAGAACAAAGGACTCCTGGGGGGCCGTCTCGAAGGTGGAGGCGCGCTCGCAGGTGCAAGGAGGGAGGACTCAAAGGGCTCCAGGAGCCCGAGCCTTAGGAGCCGCGAAAACTCTCCACCCAACGCGACGGGAAGATCCCTAAGGACCGGCAGTCAAAGCTGGCGTCGGCTTCACTTCTCCGGCGCCAAAGAGACCCAAAGCACCAATGAGGGACAGCAGGAAGAGGAAGGGGAGGCAAGATGGGAGGTGAACCGAGCAGGCTGAAGCAAAAAGACCCGGGAGCTTGAGACCCGTGGAAAAAGATCGCTTCTTTTCTTCCGCGGAGCACTTCTGCCACGATCCGCCCGGACGGTCACCTCGGAAGCCCGTCCTTACAACAGAGCGGGTCGTAGCTGGAGTCCGACTCCCAAGACGCACTTAGGGACGTCTCATCCCCCATCCAAAGACTCATTTCCTTCCCCGCCTTCACTTGCCTCGTTAGGCCTCCCCAACAGACGTCCACTGCCCTACCCAACCCCTATCGGATCCAGGTTCAAGAGCGGACAAAAGCTGAAGTTGGCTCAGCAGCTGCCCAGACGTCCAGCCGGTAGAAGCCCGTGTGTGGCAGCTGCCATCTTGAAACCGGAGGCGCGAGCCTGGGAAGGGAGGATCCAGGGCGCCACCATCGCGGTGGGGGGAGAAGGAGACGAAGCCGTAGGAAGGCGGTGGCTGCGACGCCGCCAAGTCTCGTCCTCTCGGGTCGACGTTTGGTTCAGCAATTACTTTAATTGTTTTGCAACTTTAAATAAGTAACAAAGAGCCACACACGAGCCAGAAGACGAAGTATGAGTGGCCGAGGCCACCCCTCTCCTGCTCCCGCGCGGGGCGAATGGCACGTCCCGAGGTCGCCGCTTCCGCCGGCGCCGCGAGCTGCACCGGCCGCTAGCTGCCCTTGGTCGCAGGGTCGCTGTTGGCACCAGGGCCGGAGGTGGGTCGGGGGTCCCGGGGCAGCCGTGGTTCTGCCGACCCCGGCTGGGCCGGTGAGGAAGGCCCTAGGAAGGCTTTCCGGGGTGGTCTGTGTGTGCGTCGGGGGTGGTCTCGGCCTCGCCGGGGCTCCTGGACCAAGGTGACGGGTACAAGAAACGGAAATGGGGGTTTTCTCAGGACGGGGTTAGTCCAAGTCCGGACTTGAAAACGGTGACCCGGTCGGTGGGCGTCCCCTTCGCTGGACTGCGGGGGCCCAGCAGCGACTGCTGGCCGCATCTCCGCTCCGTCCGAGGCTCCGCCAACCTCCTTCCTGTCTTAGGTCTTTCACGGTTTGTGCCTGGTGTCCAAGGTGTGTGTCGTTCGTGCGCAAGGAGTGCAGCCAGCACTTTTCACTATTAAATCAAAACTCTGAGCGATAGAATATACATGTAACTATATGTATAGATTTGCATGTGTGCTATTTATATTTTAATGTGTCAGGAATTTGGAGTGACAAAAATAGGAGACACATGAGGGTTATTTTTTTTTAAGTGGAGGCGGAGAGGGAACCTGGTTAAGGTAAAATTTTTAATAAGTTCAAGGGTAAGCGATGAGGTTAGGATAAGCGTTTATCTCTTCTTTGGAGATGTATGTATTTGAAAGGTGGGGTTAGAGAGGAGAGACTTGGAGATCTAACTGCTGGTTCCGTCCCTCCTGTGTGCAAATGGAAGTGGTGGGGGGCTTCTTAGGGGTCTTCCCGGTGGGTGCAGGACCCCAGGTCCTTGTGCCACGCTCCGCTGTGTTGCCAGGCACATTAGCGGGGTGCTATGATTGCAAGTGGAGCAGCCACAGACTTGAACCTGTTCCCCTCTGGGGTGCTGGTGTTGGGGGTGTCCCACCCGCTCTGCCCCACCTCTGTACTTTGAGAGACCATAAAGCCCGGGCCAAGAGCTTGGGCCAGGAGCCGTGCTGCCGTGGGTGCCCTTCCTGCCTCTGCAGCTTCATGCTGCGTCTTTGCCCCAGGCGAGGGGCTGCCAGGACCGTCAGGGCAGTTCCTCACCTGGAACCTGGTGCATGGTGCCGTGGTGAGGGTTAAATGAGGGGATGACCTGTGAGACGCTGCAAGAACCGTGTCAAGCAGCAGTGTTGTGAGAGGCAGTCCGTGGTTGAGGTGAGCAACAAAAACAGCTGCATCTTTTATGTTAAAGCATCCACGGTCAGATACATAGGCCCAAGTCCCCAATTGAACCCAATTCACTTACCAGAACTCTCATCACTCTTCCTGATTCTAAAATGAAACAAACAAAACTTTTAAGGTTTTGTCTAAGAAGACTAAGAAACAATGTGTGAAGTGCTCTTGTGAGAGGCCCTTCTGACGGCTGGGGTGAGAAGGGCCTCTAGGAGGAGGGTCTGTCCTGGACCTCTTGGGAGGGACTCAGGCATCCTTTATAGTTGACTCTAGCTCACCTGGATTCTGGAAGTGGAGCAGCTGGGACATGAATCCGTGTCCATATGGGAACCTGGTACTTGCAAGGGGAGGATTAAATCGCCAGTGAGCCATTATGTCAGGCCCTGTATAGAATCCTTTACCCATCCACCTCTATTGTGGAGTCTGTAAGAAGCTAGATACCTGCTGGAAACCAAGTGTGCTCACTTACGCTGAAATTTTATACATCAAGAGCCGTTTGTGTCAAAAATATAAACTGGGGTATTCGTTCAGCCTCCCCTGGGGTAAGGCCTGGAAGTCTGAAGTATGGGAGAAGGCTCCCCAGCTGATGCAGCTGTGCGGTCAAGTTTGAGGGCTGCAGTTCTAGGTAGCCTGCCAAAGTGCCTGAATTGCAAATAAGCTGTTGAAATAGCGCATCTTTTGGTTACAGTAGTTTGCAGATCAGTCATCTGCAGACTGGACCCTGGTGGGTGTATTGTTACACTTGATATTGGCTTTGAACCTTATGTCCATTTCCTAACCAGTAATTAGGGGTTGGGGATGTTAGACTAACATTTGAAAAGTAAGGACTTATCATGAAACAAAGAATTGTGACCGCTTGGAGAGTGAACCAGTGGACGGAAGGTCTTCCTCTCTGTCTCTCCTCCTCTCTGTATATCTGTATATCTGACTTTGCAATGATAATAAGTAAATCTTTTTAAAACATAGAGAGATCTTCCATCTGCGATTCACTCCCCAGGTGTTCCCAACAGCCAGCACTGGACAGGCTGAAGCCAGGAGCCTCGTTGGGGTCTCCCATGTGGGTGTCAGGACCAAGTACTTGGGCCATCTGCTGCTTTCCCAGGCCATGAGCAGGGAACTGGATTAGAAGTGGAGTGGCCAGGATACAAACTGGCACCTGCATAGGATGACATTGTTGCAGGTCCCAGGTAGAATTTTTTATATTTTCCCACTTTGATGTGTGTCATATCAACTCATTGATAAGCTGGAACCACAGTGTAGTAAGTAGACTCTAGGACCTTGTGGTGTAGTGAGTTAAGCCACTACTTGTATCCTAGACCAGAGTGCCTGTTCCAGTCTCAGCCTTTCTGCTTCTGATCCAGCTTCCTGCACATGCTCCTGGGAAAGCAAAGTGCTTGTACCTGGCCCAGTGAGATGGCTCAGTGGCTAAATTTTCACCTTGCTGCCAGGATCCCATATGAGCGCTGGTTCATATCCCAGTTGTTCCACTTCCATCCCACTCCCTGCTTGTGGCCTGGGAAAGAAGTTTCCGCCATTGCAGCAGTTGGGGAAGTGAACCAGCGGATGGCAAATCTTTCTTTGTCCATCCTTCTCCATAAATCTGATCTGTCTTTCCACTTAAAATCTGTTTGGTTTTTTTTTTTTTAAGACTTATTTATTTTTATTGGAAAGACGGATATATACAAAGAGGAGGAGAGACAGAGGAAGATCTTCCATTAGATGGTTCATGCCCCAAGTGGCTACAACAGTTGGAGCTAAGTCTAATCCGAAGTCAGGAGCCCAGAGCTGCTTCTGGGTCTCCCATGTGGGTTTAGGGTCTCAAGGCTTTGGGCCGTCCTCAACTGCTTTCCTAGACCACAGCAGAGAGCTGGATGGGAAGCGGGGCTGCCAGGAATAGAACTGGTGCCCATTATGGGTTCCTGGCGTGTTCAAAGTGAGGACTTTAGCTGTACCAAGCCCTATTTAAAATCTTTAAAAACAAAACAAGACCAAAAAAAAACCACAAACAAACAAACTAATAACAACAACAACAAAACACCTGAGGTCCCTGTCACCTACAGCTGGGACTTCCGGCTTGGTGCTGGCTCAGCTCTATTTAGTAGAAGTAGCTTTAACACTGCTCGTGAAGCAGTCTTCAAGCAGGTGTGGTGTGCCATACGCCACATCTGCATCAGAGGCAGTGCAGAGGAGCTCTGTGGCTCAGGAGCCCTGATGCCACGTCCTCTGCCTGCCACGGATGCACTCATCAAAGGTCCTGCGAAGCACTTGTGTTGCTGACCAGATGTTTTTCTTTTTAAGCAGTCATGGCAAACTTCCTTCACTTGGTGCGTGACCACTGGGTGCATCTGCTTGTCCCTCTGGGCTTTGTCTTCGGATGCTACCTGGACAGGAGGAGCGATGAAAAGCTCACAGCTTTCCGGAACAAGAGCATGCTGTTTAAAAGGTTTGTTCCTGCCTTTTTTTTTTTTTTTTTTTTTTTTAAGAAATAGCAGGATTGGTCACCTTTGGCAATATGCCTAATATCCTTTGTGCCAAATAATTAGAAAATGTACTTTTTCTCCCCAGTATTTACATTCAAGTGATGACAGTCTTTCCTTTGTTGTTGAACCCTTGGATGAAATGGCATGATGACCCCCTGGAGTGTAAGCAGTCTGCAGGTCATTCCTTGTTTCTATCTTTCCCACAGGGAGTTGAGGCCAAATGAAGAAGTTACCTGGAAATAAAGTCACAGGAGGTTCACTTTTTGCAAGTTGCAGGAGAAATAAAACCATGTTTATTATTATTTGATTGAAGATTTTGAAGTGTGACTCTTTTTGAACTTTTGGTGGAGGTAATGGAAGTCTGGATGAATCAAAAGCGGCCAGCTGGGGCAAGAGAAGGCCGGGGTAACCAAATCAGCATCCCAGGAACTGCTGTCAGAGCAGAGCATTCAGCCAAGCTTCCTCCCACTCGAATTCAAAGTGGGCGGCTTGACTCTGCACTTCTGATTCTAAACTCTGGAATTCCTGTGCCTCATGGCCACATACAAGCTAAAATTTGGTTAGAACACTCAACTATAACTTGACCTTGGGGGTTATAAGGAATCCAGTGGAGTGAGAAATAAAAACATAGAACAAGATGATTGAAATGCCTTAGAAGTATATGCTGGAGCATTGTCTTTATAGTCCTAGGGCAACGGAGCAATGCAAAATGCATAAATGTTGCATAACATCTTTAACTGCTTCCCCAGTTCCAGCTGTAGCCCAGATTACATGTGAGAAGGTGTCACCACGACATGCACATATGCCACTTGTCCAGAGCTAGCAGTGTGGGTAATATCCATTTGCCATAAATCATTAGGCCGCAAACCTCTATGGTGAACTCCCATCTTGGGAGCGGGATGCACCTCAGGACAGACTGCACATTCACACACAACAGCTCGGGCGCCACATTGGGTGCCACCTGCCAGAGTCCAGCTCCAGCCGAGTTAATTAGGCGTAAAGAGGAAAGAAATGGACCACTAGGATTTCATGATCATAATGGATAAATGCAAGAAAGATGTCCCCTTTATTTATACAGAAAACTTCACAAGCTGTAGCACAGACTTTTGACATCATGGTCAAGTGGGTCTGCCGTGTGTTTCACCTACAAACTCTAGAAGTTTCTACTACAATTCTTATTCTACATCTGGAATCAGTTAAGGGATTAATGTATCACAAAGAAAAGAAGAACCTAAAGATCAAGGAAAGAATAAAACCCTAAATACAGGTCCCTTGACAGCATGAATAATAAAAGGCCCCTTTGCATGATGTTATTATTGACCTTAACCTCCAAGCTCACATAGATAGGAAAAAGCCAACTCCACAGCTGCCAACAATGCCTGAATGGGTTAGAATTCTTCCGCAGGGTGGAGCTGCATTCAGGTGGCTGTAGAGACATCCTCCGTGCCTGTTTCTGTCCACTGGACAGAACCCAGAAGCTGGCCCTGCCGTGTCTCCCTCGTTCCCCTGGTCTCCTCCCTCAATCTACTCAAGTCCAAACCACCTCAGCCTCGCGGAGGGTCCTTCAGCGACAGCTGCCCTCCTGCAGCCTGTGTGGCCTTTCCAAAACTCAGCTCGCCACAGCTCCTGCATACAGCGCCCCACTGCCTTTACAACCCTGCAGGCAGAGCCAACCCCTGTGTCCCAGGCATCCCATAGGAGCACCAGGTCATGTCCAGGCTGCTCCATTTCCCACCCACCTGTCTAACCGATGTGAGACCCAGAAGCTGCTGGCTCCTGGTTGTTGCTTGGTCAAACGACTTGGAGGGTGAAACAGATGCAGGACCTCTTCTATGTAATGGTCTTCCAAATAACTAATTTTTAAGGGTTGTGTGTATGGTGTTTTGTTTTTTTTAAGAATGGCACAGCAGGGGCAGGTGCGGTGGCTCGACAGGTTAATCCACCTCGCAGCACCAGAATCCCATATGGGTGTCAGTTTATGTCTTGGCTGCCCTACTTCGCATGCATTTCCCTGCTTGGGGCCTGAGAAAGCAGCAGAGGACAGGCCAAAGCCTTAGGACCCTGCACCTGGAAGAGCATTCTGGCTCCTAGTTATGAAGAACCTAGGTGTTTTCTGCCTTTTGTAATTCCTGCCTTAATGGCTTGGCTGGGGACTGTGTGAACTCCAGGCCTGATAATCTACGTGACACCCAGCAGGACACCTGGCAGGTCACGTAGGCAGACCACTCCTCAGGAAGGAGGTACCTGGTGTTTGATAAGATTCACCACCCTATAGCTCATCAGTTTGTACCTTTTGAAAGTTGCTTGTTTCAAATCCACCAATAGAAACCTGCTAAATCATGATTGTATAATTAATAGCCTGAAATGTATAAGAACTGGGGGGCTTGGGCTCTCTCGCTCTCTCTGGCTCCAGCTTTTTTGCCCTCCCTGCGGATCCTACAGCAGCCTCGCTGCGGCTGCCCCTCCCCCAGTTAACCTGGGAGACCTAGGTTAACCTGAATAAACCACCTTTTTGCCTTAGCACCGACTTCAGACTTGATGATTATCTGGGGATTTCAAAATCCGGCACAACAGTTTCAGCTTGGCTCAGCTCCATCTGTTGTAGCCATTTGGGGTTATAGGACATCTTCCTTTGTTCCTTGTTCTCTCTGTAAATTCTCTCTGTTCTCTCTGCCTTTGAAATAAAGAAATCTTTCACAAAGTGTACCACAACCCGGTGTCAAGGTGCGGCACGTGCACCCATCCTACCCTTGAAGCTGCATCAGACTCCGCCCTCTTCCTTAATCAAGTCTAACCTTCCCACTTGCCCCTCCCGATACCTACCTTAGGGATGGAACAGCCGCTGTAGTCATGGGCCCTGTGGATGTGAGTCCTGGCCACCCTCTGACCCTGGACAATGCTCTGTTGTTAGTCTGTGCCTCAGTTCCTGCAGTAACAGCTGCATCAGAGGGTGCACCTAGGGAAGCGCCTCTCCTAAGAGTAAGCCCTATCAAAGCATCATTTTTATGTTAGGAATTGGGGGAATACAGTGTTGCCCTTTTCATGAAGGCGTTTTCCGTGAAGGAGCTGAGTCAACAGTTACATGCAGATATGCTAAGTAGAAGACAGAAAGTAAATGACAACATGGAATGGTGGCGAGCAGTCCCTATCGCGCCTCTCAGGAAACCTGAATAATCCATAGCAATGGGTGGAAAGCCGGATGGCTCTTCCGGACGGCAGGTGGCACTATGGCATTCCCCATTTGCCCCGCCTCAAGGCTGGAGATGGCAAGATCACGTGTCTCCGCGTTTACCGCCTCGGCGACCACGCTCTTTCCGCGACACGTGACTGGCCTCGGGAATGATAGGCTCTCTCGGCGCACGTGGGCTGGGGCGGGGCAGGGGGCGGAGAGGTGGGGCCGAGGGGGCGGAGCCGGCGGGGGGCTCGGTCGGCGCGGGGGCCGTTGGCTCCAGACAAATAAACATGGAGTCCATCTTCCACGAGAAAGTGAGTGTCGGCGTTCGCGGGGGCGCGGCCGGAGGCTGGGACGCGGGTCGGACGGTGGGCGTCGCCGCTGCGGGCGGCTGGGTGGGGCGAGGGGCGCCGCGGGCGCGGCCCGCTGCTGAGCCCGGGAGGGCCCTTGGACCACCGCGCTCCCGGCACCTTGCGCCCCGGAGGCCCCCGCCTGAGGAGCCGAGGCCGCAGGTGGTGGGAGAAGGAGAGGGCAGGGCCTGAGGGCTGGCGGCCGCGTGGGAGGGTTCCTGCTCTGCGTCCTCCTCCCTCGGCTTCCCTAAGGTCCGGCTAGAGTCACCTCTCCACCCTGGCCGTCCACTCACCCCTCTCGTCCTGTCCCCATTCGTCCTCCCTGGGCTCCTCATTCCATACTGGAACCTGCCATGCACTTTGGATCTTTGGGATCCGTATTCCTGGCCTTCCGCACTCACTTAGGAGACCTCGGGCCCACCCACCCCAGGAGTGCTGGCTCTTTGAGGAAGTGGAATAGGAAACCCCAGCCCCTCCCCTCCATCCTCCGCCCCTAAGCAAGGCGGTCTTCACCAGAGTTATGTTACAGGATGTTTGGGTTTGGTGGGCTTGGGGTGGGGCTGACTTTGCTCCGTATTCCCAGTGTTTCTGGATCTGGCGGCCAGCCGTGTTCGCAGGTGTCAGGGTGGACTGGGGGGTTTGCTGTTGTCATCTGCCAGTCTCGCTTTAATCCTGCAAGGCCACACACCTGGAGATAGATACCGCCTGTGGCATGTGGAGAAACTTTTGTCCTATGCAGTCATCAAGCCACTTGGGCGGGATTGAAACCCTCAGGTCGACCTTGGTCGTTGATACCTTGTTTCCAAATAGTTTCTTGTTTGGAGAGGTGAGGCTGTTACTTAGTTTCTGCTTTAGTAAGTACTTGTGAATGAACTCACACAGTCAGTGGATCCGAGACAAAGGACGTGGGTAATAGCTCCACAGTATAAATCTAAACAAATTGTAAGACGCAATGCTTTCTGCTGTGTGGGGGAGAGGAAGGACTCAGCGCAGTTATCACTGTTGGTTTGACTTGCTTAACATGATTTGTGAATCTTTTGATAAGATTTAGTTGCTTGGCTGTAGAGATTGGGTGAGAAATACACATGTGCTTAAAACACACACACACACACACACACACACACACACACACACCTTTTATTTGTTTGAAAGCCTCCTGAAAGACACCGCCTGTCCCCCGGATTGCTCCCCACATGCCCAAACCAGCCACTGCAGCCGAACCCAGGGCCAGAAATTCAGTTCAAATCTCACACACAGGCAGTGGGTCCCTGTTCTCTTCCAGGGTGTGTGTGTGAGCAGGCAGCTGGAGCTGTAGGTGAAGCCGGGACTCAAACCCAAGGACTTCAGCCTGGACTAGGGATGTGCCAAGCAAGGCCTTCCCCCAGCGGGGTGTCTTACCTGCTGTCACATGCCCACTCCTGTGTTTTTACTCCCAGTTTTGAGAGGCGTTGGTGTAGCCATGTGGCTGTAGGTTTTCACTCAGGAAGACCTCAAGTCCTCTCTGCCCTACAAGGCGTATGCTTTTTAGTTGTTTGAGAGGCAGATGGACAGGGTGCCAGCCCTGTAACTCGCACCCCAAGAAACTGCAGCAGTAGGGGTTGCACCGCACACAGAGTGGGAGGAGGGAATGCAGTCCGGAGCCCTACTAGGCATCAAACCCTGTTTGCATGGGGCAAATTTTTTAAAAGATTCATTTACTTATGTAAAAGGCAGCGTACAGGGCCCGGCGCGGTGGCGCAAGTGGTTAAAGGTCCTCACCTTGCACGCCCGGGATCCCATATGGGCGCCGGTTCTAATCCCGGCAGCCCCGCTTCCCTTCCAGCTCCCTGCCCGTGGCCCGGGATAGCAGTCGAGGACGGCCCAAAAAGCTTTGGGAACCTGCACCCGCGTGGGAGACCCGGAAGAGGCTCCTGGCTTCGGATCGGCATAGTATCGGCCCGTTGTGCTCACTTGGGGAGTGAATCATCGGACGGAAGATCTTCCTCTCTCTCTCTCCTCTGTGTATATCCGCCTTTCCAATAAAAAAATAATAAAAATAAATCTTTAAAAAAAAAAAAAAGGCAGCGTACAGAGAGGGAGGAGGGGAGTAACAAAGACCTTTCCTTCACTGGATCACTACCCAGATTTGACCCTAGTGATCAGGTTGAGGCAGGACAAAGCCAGGAGCTAGGTCTCCCCCCGGGGTGCTGGGGCCCAGGTACTTGGGCCATCTTCTGCTGCATTCCCAAGTGCATTAAAAGGGAGTGGCTCAGAAGTGGAGCAGCCAGGACACGCGCTCGTGTTCATATGGGGTGTTGGCATCACCACTGCTAGTCTGAACATGTGCCCCATACACTATCAGTCACTAGCTAGTTTGGGTACATTTTAGTGAATCATGTAATCAACAAAAAGTTTGATACTAGACTAATGAAAATCTGCTCACAGGCCCAGTGTGGTATCCTAGTGGCTTGCACACACCGGGATCCCATATGGGTGCCAGTTCTAATCCCAACAGTCCCATTTCCCATCCAGCTCTCTGCTTGTGGCCTGGGAGAGCAGTCGAGGGCGGCCCAAAGCCTTGGGGCCCTGCACCCACGTGGGAGACCTGGAGGAGGTTCTTGACTCCTGGCTTCAGATCGGCTTGGCTCTGGCCATTGCAGTTACTTGGGGAGTGAATCATCGGATGGAAGAGCTTCCTCTCTGTCTCTCCTTCTCTCTGTATATCTGACTTTCCAATAAAATTTAGTAAATAAATATTTTTAAAAAATCTGCTCACTAGAAAAACGTGTCACTTATTGACATATGGGCTTAAAGGTATTGCAGGAACGTGCTTACACTTATCAACATGTCACCTTGGCATGTGAAGATGCTTAACAACCTTAGGCTCTGTGGGTGTATTTCTGCCATCCCAGGGTTCACTGGAAGCTTGTACACAGTCCCTTCTGGGGGTGCCAGCCTCACGAGTGCCCATTTCCCTTGACTAGCACACTTTTTAAGATTTATTTCATTTTTATATGAAAGACAAAGAGACAGATTTGCCATCTGCTGGTTCGCTCCCCAAATGTCTACAACTTCTGGAGCTGAACTGATGCAAAGCCAGGAGACTGAAGCTTGTTCCAGGTTTCCCATGCTGGTGCAGTGGTCCAAGCACCTGACCTATCCTTGTCTGCTTTCCTAGACTGTAAGCAGGGAGCCGGATCAGAGGTGCAGCAGCCAGGGCTTGACCCCTGCATACAGGATGCTGGCACCATAGGCTGAGGCTTAGCGTGCCACACATGACGCCCGTCTTCTCTGCAGCACAGTTTTAACCTGGAAACCGGAGAACCAACTTTGGCCCCAAAGAAACCTAAAGAATATATGTCTGTAAAAGCAACTTCTTTTGGCTTGTTGGTTTCCCTGTTTTCACTTAAGTGGCTATTATTTAAGTAAAGCTTTGCGGTTCGTGATCCACTAATACACCGTGCCTGGCCTGTCACACTGCTGAGTGTGAGGTGGGTGTGGCACGGCTTGGTGGAAGTCAGTGACTTGCCATCAGTATTTGGAGGCCTAGGGAGGCATGGTTGGATAGGTTGCATTATCTTGTCTGTGTAAGTGTATGGTTTCCCTGTACTAGTCAAAAGATAAAAACCATCATTAGATACTGGAGCAGGTGGGATTTGGTCCATGGGCTGAAGTTTGCCTAACTTCTAAATTCAGTTCTGATACTAAGTGGCTACTGACCTGACTGACGCTGATTGTGGGTATTTTATGAACTATTGTTGGCTACTCTTGATGCAGTTACAGTACCATCTAATTCAGTCATTTTTTAAAAAAAAACTTGAAAATTTTTATTTTTATTTTGTGTAAAAGAGAGATAGAGACCTCCCATTCCCTGGTTCACCCTCCCACATGCTTGCAACAACCAGAACTAGATTAGACTGAAGCCAGATTTCCTATGTGGGTAGCCGGGGACCCAAGTACTTGAGCCATCTCAGAAAGTGAGTTAGCAGGAAGTTGAGTCAGTTGTCTAGGAGGTGGGACTCAGACCAGGCACTCCTGTTTAATGGGATGCTTGTGTCCCAAGGGGCAACTTGACATGGCACCAAATGCCACCCCTAAAATTTATACTGTTTTTTTTAAAAAAAGCTTTGTTTATTTTATTTGTCTGAGGGACAGAGTGGCAGGGAGAGACTTTCCATCTACTGGCCCTCTTCCCAGGTGCCCACAGCAGCTAGGACCGGCAAGGCTCAAGTTCAGAGCTGGGAACTCCAGCTGGGTCTCCCCACTTGGGTGGCAGGAGCTCTGGTGCTTGGACTGTGGTCCCAGGTGCATTAACAAAGGCTAATAAAAAAGAGTTACCAAGACTTGAATTGGCACTCGTATGTGAGCTGCTGGCATCCCAAGCACCGCCACAGGCCTACCTCTTCAGTTCATGCGGATTAAATAAGGTTTTCTTTCATTGACAGTGACAGGGAGATGAGAAGTGTTCAATCTTCCAGCTCACTGCCGATCTCCCTGTGAAACCCTGCATTGGGCCAGGAGCCCAGAACTCCACCCACATCTCCTTCCTGGGCAACAGGGACCCAAGGCTCTGAGGCAGCATCTGCCTCCTTGTGCATGTGTCAGCAGGAAACGGGCCTGGACACAGTGGGGACTCGGGCACAGGCACTCTGACCCCAGAGGCAGACGTGCCAGCCACAATCACAGTGCCTGTTCCAGAACTGGTAATTTTTTTTTTCTATTGGAAAGTCAGATATACAGAGAGAAGGAGAGACAGAGAGGAAGATCTTCCATCCGATGATTCACTCCCCAAGTGGCTGGCTGTAGCAGCTAGAGCTGAGCCAATCTGAAGCGAGGAGCCAGGAGCCTTTTCTGGGTCTCCCACATTGGTTCTGGGTCCCAAGGCTTTAGGCCGTCCTTGACTGCTCTCCCAGGCCACAAGCAGAGAGCTGGATGGGAAATGGGACTGTTGGGATTAGAACCATATGGGATCCCAGTGCATGCAC